ATATTCCTTTCAAAATTAAATGTGGGTGCTATATGTATGTTCACTGTAGGAGACCTGTAATACCAGCACTTGGGAAACTAAGGCAGGAAGATCACCAGTTCAAGGCCAGCCTGGGTTACATAGGGAGACTTTGTCTGAAACAAAACAAAAAAATCTATGAACACATGGATGAAGAAAAATGCATACAAAATAGTTCCTCAGGGGCTGGGGGTTTAGCCCAGTGGAAGGGCCCTGTCCGGCTCGTGCAAGGCCCTGGGTTCAGTCCTCAGCCCTGGGGAAAAAAAAATAGTTCCTCAGTTTTCTATTGCCACTGTAACAAATTGTTACAGACTCTGTGGCTTAAAATAACGCAAATCCTTTGTTTTGGAGTTTGATATAGGCCAAAATGAGTTCCATCCGCATGAGATTTTCTGCAGGCTTTCGAAGAGAATTCTTTTTCGCCTACCTGTAGGTTGATGCTACCTACATTCATTGGCTTATGTCTGCCTCTTCCAGTTTTGAAAGTCGACAATGTAGCGTGTCTCTGACCCAACCTAAATCATCACGTCTCTTTCTGTGTCTGCCTCTTCCACGGAAGAACTCTTGTGATTACCTTGGCTTCACCTGGATAACCAGGGTCTTCTTTCTATCTTCAGGTCAGCTGAATTGTTTCCTTGTAACCTAACATTCACAGTTAGGATCTGAACTTTGTTAAAGACCCTGTTTTCACGTACTGTGTGTGAAAAAAGAAATTGCAAAGCAGCTTGTAGGGTTTTAATTTATTTGGGGCTTAAAAAGTAGTGATAGAAAGATGGATCGAGTTATAATTAACTTAAGAAAACTTTTCAAGAATCTGACACTAAATGAATAAAGATTCATTGGCTGTAACATTTTAAAATGATTGTCAAGGTTTTTGTTTGTTTGTTTGGCTGGATGGCTGGTTTTGAGACTGGGTCTTGCCCAGACTGGCAAGCCTCAGCCTCTGAAGTGCTATGATAACAGAAATGCACTATCCCAGCCAGTTTTGAACTTTTTCTTGCTAGGTCCTAAGAAAGAATTCAGCTTACATATGGTGAATCGATTGTGAGAAATAGGGTGCTCACTTCTTCGTCCTGGAGGAGTTTTCTGGCTTTTCCTAGATATTGTTGAAGGCTAGTTGAGGAGACAGCAATTCCTTGATCACTGACAGATGAGTAGATCTGGCTTCAGAATTTCATTGCATATCATGAAATGCATTTTCAATAGAGCTAATCATTATCATGTACGAAGTATAATTGCACTTGCACTTACTGATTGTGTTAAATAATATTAAATGTATTCATATTTATCTTTTGTTTACCTGGTACCCTTCCTCCAACATTGAGTGATTTAGAATCTTTCTAAAATAAGCACTAGGTAGGAAGTAATTTCCTGTAATTACCAGATGGGAAATGCTAAGAATTCGCAGGCACCTGGAGTAAACAGATGGACCATAGACCATTCCTGCTGGTCTGGACTGTTTGCAGAACACAGTGACCATGTATTCCCTTTTGCAGAAAAATCACACATTTGGCACAGTCATTGTCTTTTTTTTTTTTTTTTTTTCTGTGCCTGTCCTGGGGCTTGAACTCTTTTTTCTTTTTTTTCCTCCCACTGAAGGCTAACACTCTACCACTTGACCACTTGAGCCACAATTCCATTTTTGACTTTTTGGCCCTAGTACTTTTGTGTTTTATACAAATAAGACTTCATTTTTTATGAGTCCTCCCCACCCCCATCTTTGCCTTCTGAGTAACTAGAATTACAGGTGTGAGCTACTAGTGCCTGGCTTCATTTTTCATGAGTTTTGATGCTCTTAAAAAATGTGAATTTCTGGGCTGGGAGCTTGCCTTGCATGCATGAGGCCCTGGGTTCGATTCCTCAGCACCACATAAGCAAAACGAAAAAAAGCCGGAAGTGGCGCTGTGGCTCAAGTGGTAGAGCGCTAGCTTTGAGTTGAAGAGCTAAGGGACAGCGCCCAAGCCCAGAGTTCAGGCCCCATGACCGGACCCGGAAAAAAAAAAAAAAGTGAATTTCTGGGCTGGGCTCTGATGGTTCACACCTCTAATCCTAGCTACTTAGTAGGCTGAGATATGAGGTAATGACTTCAAAGCCCAGGCAGGAAAGTCTGTGAGACTCTTTTCTCTAATTAACCACCAAAAAGCCAGAGGTGGAGCTGGGACTCAAGTTAGGTAAAGCACTAGTCTTGAGCACAAAGCTCAAGGACAGCACCTAGGTCCTGAGTTTTAGCCCCAGGACTGGCACACAAAACAAAAATAAAAAAAGTGAATTTCTTCTTTTTTTTTTCTTTTCTTTTCTTCAGGTTGTGCGGCCTGAACTCTGGGCCTGGGTGCTGTCCCTTAGCTCTTCAGCTCAAGGCTAGCGCTCTACCACTTGAGCCACAGTGGGTTTTTTTTGCTTATGTGGTGTTGAGGAATGGAACCCAAGGCCTCAGGCATGCAAGGCAAGTGCTCTACCACTGAGCCACCTTCCCAACCCCTAAAAAGTGAATTTCTGAGTCGAATTGCACAGCAATTTTTTGTTTCTTTTTCTTTTTCTTTTCAACATTGACTTTCTAAATTTACGGGTCATATTTGTGGAGTAATGCATTGAATGGTGTGTTTTCTTTTTTCAGTCCAGGCTAGCCTTGAATTCATTGCCTCTTGGCTCTCTCTCTCATCTGAATCTGAGATTACCACCACACTCAGCTGTTCAACTGACTGGCTTTTTTTTTTTTAACTTTTTTTTTTATTGTGAAAATACTGTATAGAGGGGTTACAATTACATGGGCAAGATAGTGAGCACATTTCTTATCAAGCATTGTAGCCTCCTCCTTTGTTTACCTTTCCCATCCCTTCCCATCCTCCCTCCCCCCCCCATACTTCCCCCCCTCCCCCAAGTTGTAAAGTTCGTTTTTGACATGACAATTTGTACATCTCATTGTTGCAACAGGTCCACCTGTATCCTTATTTAAACGACTTGTTTTTCCCCTTCCCCTCCACAAATTATACCGACATCAAATACAGTGAAAGTAGGGGTTATACTGTGGGGGAGGGACATACAAAGCAACAAAGAAATAATCTTATAATTGCGTTAGAAACAAATGCATGAAAGAAAAAATCATTTAAAATACATATCTTAGGGTTCATTTTCCTAACATCACCTTATCTGACCTTTTCTGCTTGACTCATATATATGCTGGATATTGCAAATAAGGGAAATCATGGGACCTATGTTTCTTTGGGCTTGGCTTACTTCACTTAATATAATTTTTTCCAAGTCTTTCCATTTCCTAACAAATGGGGCAATGTCATTCTTTCTGATGGAGGCATAGAATTCCAAATTGGTTAACTACTTGTAGAAAACTAAAGCTAGATCCTTATATATCACCCTGCACCAGAATCAACTCCAAATGGATCAAAGACCTCAGAGTCAAAGCAGACACTCTGAAAACATTACAGGATGGAATAGGAGAAACCCTAGGTCTGACTGGCTTTTTTTGAATGGTGGATTTTAACTGTTAGCTCTTTGGATTATGAGGCATGTTAGTTTTGAATTGAGGTTGATTTTGAGGGAAATACTGGTATATACTTTTTAGGGGTTGGGGGTGGGGGACTGGTCCTGAAGCTTGAACTCTCGGCCTAGGCTCTATCTTTCTGAGCTTTTTTGCCTCAAGGCTAGTGTTCTACTACTTGAGCCACACTGCCACTTCTGGCTTTTTGTGAGTAGTTTATTGATGGTAAAAGTCTCTTGGACTTTCTTGACTGAGTTGGCTTTGTACCACAATTCTTAGATCTTAACCTCTTGAGTAACTAGGATTACAGGCATGAGCCACCAGCACCTGGCTAAGTTTTACTAAGTAGAAAACTACTTATTTATTTATTTATTTCCATCAGTCCTGGGGCTTGAACTCAGGGCCTGGGTGCTGTCCCTGAATTTTTGTGCTCAAGGCTACTAGTACTCTATTACTACAGCCACAGCTCTACTTCTGGCTTTTTTTAGTGGTTAATTGTAGATAAGAGTCTCACGGACTTTCCTGCTTGGGCTGGCTTCAAACCGTGATCCTTAGATCTCAGCCTCCTGAGTAGCTAGGGTTACAGGCAATGAGCCACTGGCACCCCGCCAGTAGAAAAAATTTTAATAATGTATTTTTTTGTACATTACTAAAAAATGTAATTAAAATTATTTGAATCTGGGCCATTAATAAATTAATATATACTTCTTCATGTATTCCAGAGGCACTTAAAATATAACCTTAGTGGGCTGGGAAGGTGGCTCAGTGGTAGAGTGTTTGCCTTACATGCATGAGGCCCTGGGTTTGATTCCTCAGCACCACATAAGCAGAAAAAATCGGAAGTGGTACTGTGGCTCTAGTGGTAGAGCACTAGCCTTGAGCTGAAGAGCTGAAGCCCAGAGTTCAGGCCCCACGACCAACCAAAAAAAATAAAAATAAAAATGTATATATAGGACACACAGATATATATATATATGTGTGTGTGTGTGTGTGTGTGTGTGTGTGTGTGTATATGTATATTATATATATATATATATAATATACATATATATATTTGGACATTGTCCAAAAAGAAATATACTCTTTACTTGATTTATGTAACTATAGCCCATTACCTGTATAATAAAAATTAAAAGTGGCTTTAATGTATTTGTAATTTTTGTACTTAAATGATTTCTAGGTTGAACTAACTTCGAAACAAAAAAAATTTGTTGGCTGGAACAGGACAGATGTTGTAGATAGGCTTTCCTTTGACATGTTTGGTACTCAATTTGCATTTTCATAAGTTCAGTGGGCAGGCTTAGTCTAGATATTTGACTTTGGTAGGCAGGATAAGAAATAGTTTGAATAGTTTCTCTGTATATTTTTTCCCCAGTCAATGTATATTTGTTAGAGGCCTGCCTTTTTTTTCTCCCTCCTAATACAAGGAATAAAATAGCAAGGCATTCTTTTATTGCTTTTTATGCTTAACTAATGTTTTCTCCTTTAGGTCTTAATGTGCTTTTTGCAAAAAGGGAATGATTTTGTGATGGAGAATTCCCCGTGACCGATGGACTCAAAGAAGAAAAGGTAAAATCATATTTTCATTCTCCTTTATTCTTCCTGGAAAAAAACAATAGGCAACTCTACATAATCGTAATTTTTCTTCAGTTTAATTTTCTTTTTGACAGTGAGAGTACAGTGTGACAATCATAGTTGATTGGTAAAGAAAAAACTATTTAAATGAAGCCTATTAATGATGAGCTTTGTTGTTAGTTTGTTATGCTTATTACAAAGGCATTGTCTTCATTTCATCATTTAAAATTCTTGTAGTCATTTTTCTTCCTCACAAATAATTTTAGACTTAAAAGGTAGCCTTATTACTTATTAGTTTCAGTACTCTGTCCTTAGAAAATGAATTGCAGGGCCAGAGGCATGGCTCAAGCAGTGGAAATGGAGTGCCTACCTAATAAGCATGAAGTACTGCCAATAAAACTAGTTACAGAAGATGTTTTTTAAAAAAGGTTAAATTTGTAATTTACCTCCTGTAGATCCATGGTTTAATAATTTAGCATCTATGTTCTAGAAAAAGAAAATTGAGAAATTCAAAAAATCCCCACGTGTGACACATAGGACAGTTCTGTAAAGGAAATTGAAGATATCCTAATATGCCCTTTTCTTAGAAGGGGAACTGTTATGGTCATTATCATATAGCTACTTTGTATTCTTTGACCTGAAGTCATCAGATAGATAGAATTCTTTGGCTAGATGATAAGTAAAACATAAAGTATTTTATTGTTATTTGTTATGAATTTGATTTAAAAAATTAAAATAATGAGCAAAATAGTATAGGAGACTCCTTAAAAACAACAACAACAATGGAAAGTAGGAGTACTGTGTATCTGACAGTCTCACTGTGGAGTAAAGAAGGAAATAAGTACATTGAAAAGCATCTGCACTTCTTTGTTATTGTAGATGTATTCATGATAACTAAGGTGTGGAATCAGTCTAAATGCCTGTGGAGGTAAAATTGGGTAAGAAAATGTATGTATGTTCACAGTGGACTATATTCAGCCAGAAAAAAAGAATAAAATCCTCTCCCTTTCCTCTGTCTGTGTCTGTCTGTATGTTTCTCTCTCTCTCTCCCCCCCCTCCCCCAGTCCCTCCCTCACACATACGCACACACACAGAAGCTATAAAGGTGATTGCATAATGGAGTGGAATAGTGCTTACCAGAAGTTGGTAAGAATGAGAATGAAGCAGGAGTGGAGAGAAGATGGTTAACAAGTACAAGGTGCAGTTAGAGTAGCTTACAGTGGTCTGTTGAACAGGATGGTAGCTATGAATGACAAATGATACATTTCAAAGTTGTAGAGGGCTTTGATAAAATATTTGAGATAGTAAATATACCAGTTACCCTGATCTCATCATTACACACATTGTATACATATATTGAAATGTCAAATTGTACTCTGTGAATTTGTGCAGTGTGTCATTTATACATCAAAACATTTTAAAAGTTTAGTAATTATAGATTTAAAGTCAGCATAAAGTGAAATAAGAACTTCTTCGTATTGTTCTCTTTTTTGTGTGTGGTAACTGGGATTTGAACCCAGGGCCTTGTACTGTTTCTTTACCCATCTCCCCAGCCCTATTCCTTATATCTTTCTAATCGAATACTCATCAAATACTTTCTATCAATTATAAACAGAATTTAAAAAATAATATTCAACCCGTGATAACTTTACTATCAATCAATTATAGCAACACTAGGTTTTGGACTCAGCCTTGTGCTCACAAGATAAGCACCCTATTTGAGGCACACCTGCAGATAACTTTAATATTTAAGCAAGTGTTAATGTATTGAGAAGTTGAATCTTGATATTTGATGCTACCAAATCATAAAACTTCTAAAAATAGCCCCTTTTATGTACTACTTAGAATTAACTTGTGGGTTTCAATTATCCTCCATCATTTCATTTAGATACTTTATCTTCGCTCCTGTGACATTGCCAAAGTATAAGTAGGTGCTGTTTATGGGACCCATCTGCTGGTAAAGGTCTAATCTGATGATGAGAATTAAGAACAACACAATGTTTTTTTCTTTCTTGCTATTGTTTCTAATGTATTTATAATGTACCATGTGATTTTTTTGTTGCTTTGTATGTTTCTCCCCCATGGTATAACCTTGTTTTCGCTGTATTTGATATGGGTATAATTTGGGGAGGACAAGGGGAAAAAACAAAATGTTTAAATAGGCATACAGGTTGACCCATTGTAAAAATGAGATGTACAAAGCACTATGTTGAAAAACGAACTTTACAATTTAGGCGGGGGAGGGGAGCACAGGGAGTGTAGTTGAGGAGGTGGGAGGGAAGAGATGGTAGGGGAAAAACAAAGGAGGAGGCAACAATGCTTGATAGGAAATGTACTCATTACCTTGCTCATGTAACTGTAACTCCTCTGTATCGTATTTTCACAATAAAAAAAACTTATTAAAAAAAAGAATTAAGAACAGAAGATTCAGTTCTGAAGTTCTAATCTACAGTGGACTGCAGGTATGTCTCAAGTGGTAGAGTGCCTGTCTGACAAGTGCAGGGCCATGAGTTCAAACCCCAGTACCTCAAAGAAAACAAATTAGAACAATTACAGAAATAGTTAAGCCTTCTTACCTTTTTTTTTTTGATGTTTGTAGCTCTACAGAGGCAGAAGGATCCAAAGAAAGAGGCTTGGTCCATGTCTGGCAGGCAGGATCCTTTTCCCTAACACCGGAGAGGTTGCCAGGCTGGGGAGGAAAGACTGTTCTACAAGCAGCCCTGGGAGTGAAGCATGGAGTTCTTCTGACTGAAGGTATTGAAAAGAATGCCTTGGAATTGGAGGCATGGCATAGTTGGTAGGGTACTAGCCAACGAGGGAAAGGGTCAGGTACTGAGTTCAAACCCTGACAAAGCAAACAAAGGAAAGAAAAGAATGACTTAAAAAATATTTAACTGAATGTTAATAGATGCCCAAATGGATTATTAGATACTGGAGGTTCTTACTGATCTTTGCTGGAGCTGATACCCTTTTGTTTTTGAAAATATGTTTTATTCCTTTGATCAGAAATCATGCTATTTCTTAAGACATCCCATAAACTAGAACAGATGGAAAAATTACAGCTTTGACACAGTAAACACAGTAACTTTATAAAAGATTTTCTGTTCAGGGACCCCTTTGCTATAGCTTTTGTTCATTTACTATATCAGAGCAATATTACTAATAATACCTAATGTTTATTATCCAATACTTGCCAGGACTAATTATACATTTTCCCTATGTTATCTCACTGAGCGTTTACCCTGTAAGGTAGATAAAACAAAAGTCAGAGAGGTTAAATAATGATCATAATTACCCAAAGACATTAAAAGTGTCAGAGTTAGAGTCAGGATTGGAACTCAGTCTGATTTCAAAAGCTTTTGTTTTTTGTTTTTTCTTCTCCTAGTGCTAGGGATCATATACAGGATTCACATGGCTAGGCAGGCTGTCTACTGCTGACCTATATTCCTGATTCTCAAATCCTGCTCAAGCCACTTGGCAATACTAAGTGTACTTTTTTTCAGGCATAAATAAGAGCACACAAGAGCATGTTATAAAAACTGGTGCATCTTTTTTTTTTTTTTTGTCAGTTGTGGGGCTTGCACTCAGGGCCTGGGTGCTGTTCCTGAGCTCTTCCAGTTTTCTGGTGGTAAACTGGAGATACGAGTCTCACGGACTTTCCTGCCTGGGTTGGCTTTGAACTGCAATTCTCAGATCTCAGCCTCCTGAGTAGTTAGGATCATAGGTGTGAGCCACTAGAACACAGATTTATTTTCAATAAATATTTGAAATATCTTTATTAAGATACTTGGGAGGTTGGGAATGTGGCTTAGTGGTAGAGTGCTTGCCTAATATGCGTGAAGCCCTGGGTTCAATTCCTCAGTACTGCATAAACAGAAAAAGCTGGAAATGGTGCTGGGCTCAAGTGGTAGAGTGCTAGCTTTGAGCAAAAGAAGCTCAGGGACAGTGCCCAGGCACTGAGTTCAGTCCCCAGGATTGGCAAAAAAAAAAAAAAAAACGAAAAAGAAAAAAGATATTTGGGAATTTTCAATAAAGTATTTGGAAACCCTTCATAAACATATCTTTAAAAACTATAGTCATATCTATACAATTGGGACAATTTTGTAAAATTGCATACATAACTAATTATTGTTTATATTTAAACAATACCCTGGTAATAAAAGGCACCAAAAACTTAGCTTGGCTGGCATCTGTGTAGCTCAGAGGTAGAATGTGTGTGTTCAGCATGTGGAAGGCCATGGGTTCAGCTTCCAGTACCAAAAAAAGAAACCAAACCAAACATGAAAGATCTCATCTCACACAGGATGCTTAAGATAGTGCAAAGATCTTCAGTGCAATCTTTTGTGTGTGAGGAAATGGTACTGATTAAATGCCAGAAATTTTCAGGTTTTGTCTACTTAGTTTGACCAAAGCTTAAAATTCTATGTGTGTCTTTCATTGATTTGCTATTTTTTTTTTTTTTTTTTTTTTTGTGTCAGTCATGGGGCTTGAACTCTAGGCCTGAGCGCTGTCCCTCAGCTCTTCAGCTCAAGGCTAGCACTCTACCACTTGAGCTACAGCACCACTTCCAGTTTTCTGGTGGTTTATTGGAGATAAAAGTTTCATGAATTTTCCTGCCTGGGCTGGCTTTGCATCTTGATCCTCAGATCTCAGCCTCCTGAATAGCTAGGATTACAGGCATGAGCCACTGGCGCCCAGCTTCACTATTTTTTTTTTTATTTACTCTAGTTTAGAAACAAAGTGGAGATCTAAATACTATTTCTTTGAAGTATTGCTCTTGCTAGTTAGAATAATATTAATTGAAAGACTTTAGTGTGCATTTGTCACTTGGGAAAAAACTTTAAAGGAATTTAATCAGTTAGCATATTTTCTTAATATTCTATATCTTAAAATTATATTCCCTACTAGCAGTTCCTGTCTTCCCTCTAGCTGCTATTGTGTTATTCCTTACACAATGGTGTGATGTATTGTTGTTTATACATTTGAATGTGTAAATATATCTGCCACACAGAATAAGTAAAAAATAAATGTGTTTGTATCATTATCAACTCAATTGTTGGTTTGTGAGAAAAGATTTCTCTATTAGGGCTGGGAAGGTGGCTCAGTGGTAGAGCGCTTGCCTTGCATGCTTGAGGCCCTGGGTTCAGTTCCTCAGCACCACATATGCAAAAAAGAAAAAAGCCGGAAGTGGCGCTGTGACTGAAGTGGTAGAGCGCTAGCCTTGAGCCGAAGAGCTGAGGGACAGCGCCCAGGCCCAGAGTTCAGACCCCACGACCGGACCAAAAAAAAAAAAAATTTAAAAAAATAAAAAAAATGTAAGTGTCAGTGGCTCATTCCTATAATCCTAGCTATTCAGGAAGCTGAGATCCAAGGACTGTGGCTCAGCCAGCCTGGGCAGGAAAATTCATGAGACTTTTATCTCGAATAAATTACTCAGAAAAAGCCAGAAGTGGCTCTGTGGCTCTTGGTGTAGAACACTAGCCTTGAGCACAAAGACACTCAGGAACAGAGCCCAGATTTCAAGCCCGAGGATGGGCAAAGAAAAACAGTCTTTAGTCTTACGACAAAGAAAGGATAGTGGATTTAGTTCAATATTTTTATTTTTTGGTTGGTCTTGGGGCTTGAACTCGGGGCCTGGGTGCTGTCCCTCAGCTCTTCAGTTCAAGGCTAGCTAGCCCTATACCACTTGAGCCACAGAGCCATTTCTGGCTTTATCTGCTTATGTGGGCTGAGGAATTGAACCCAGGGCCTCAGGCATGCAAGGCAAGCGCTCTACCACTGAGCCACCCTCCCAGCCGCCCCCCCCCTTTTTTAGTTCAATATTTTTAAAAACCTGGGGCCAAAGTTAGGTGCCAGGGGGCTCATGCCTATAATCCTATCTTCTGAGATCTGAGGATTGTGGTTTGAAACCAGCCCAGCAGAAAAGTCCCTGAATCACTTACCTCCAATAAACTACTCAGAAAAAGCCAGAAGTGGTGCTGTGGCTCAAGTGGTAGAACACTAGCCTTGAGAACAAAGAGGCACAATGCCCAGGCCCTGAGTTCAATCCCCACAACCAACCGAAAACCTGTGGCCAAGTCTTCATTCTATTTATTTTTCTGGTTTCTTTTAAAGACACAGTCTTGCTCTATTGGTTCTTTTTTTTTTTTTTTGCCAACATGGATTAGGTACACATGCCCCAAAGTCCTACAAACTTATTCAAAAATAAAATTAAGACTTATAGCATACCTGGACACATTATCATTCATGTATATCCAACTCACTCATACCTTTCATTTAGTTCTAAAGCTAGCCAGTCATTTGCTACAGTTTCCTTTCTTAATTTTGTTGGGATGATTTGTTTTTTAAACAAATCACATCTCAGAAAAGCTATTTTGTATATAGCATATGTGTATTTTTTTTTTTTTTTTTTTTTTGGGTCCAGTCGTGGGGCCTGAACTCTGGGCCTGGGCACTGTCCCTCAGCTCCTCAGCTCAAGGCTAGCACTACCACTTGAGCCACAGCACCACTTCCGGCATTTTCCTTTTTGCTTATGTGGTGCTGAGGAATCGAACCCAGGGCCTCATGCATGCAAGGCAAGCGCTCTACCACTGAGCCACTTTCCCATCCCAGCATATGTGTATTTATACCATAAAAAATTACCTGTAGTATGCTCATGTCTTGATACAATACTGCTGCTTTCTGTACAATTTGGAGGCATAAAACTAGCTTTTTAGTTTTAGCAAAAATGTATCTCTATTTTTTCTTTATTGGTCATATGAGAATTTTATTTATTTATTTATTCATTCATTCATTTTTTTTTTGCCAGTCCTGGGGCTTGAACTCATGGCCTAGGCACTGTTTTTGAGCTTCTTTTGCTCAAGGCTAGCACTCTACCACTTGAGCCACTGTGCCACTTCTGGCTTTTTCTGTTTATATGGTACTGAGTAATCAAACCCAGGGCTTCCTGCATGCTAGGCAAGCATTCTACCACTAAGTCACATTCCCAGCCCTCATGAGAATTTGATTTAGGACTTTTATTTTCTAGGCAGGACTCTTAAGAGTTGAACCATTCCTTACATTTCTTGCTATAGCTGGGGTGACTGAGCTATAGGTTGAGATAAGATCTCAAAAACCTTTTTTCCAGGGCTGGCATCAAACCTTCAACCTCCCATTCTTCACCTCCCAAGTAGCTAGGATTACAAGCAATGAGCCACTAGCACCTGGCTCACATTTTAAGGTTTTTATTGCATGTTTTCTTGTGTTCTGACCTGTTCAGTAGTGAATGTTGGAAACATTAGTGAATGTTGTTTCTTTTATCTTCTTACTTTATCTTAATATCTTTATGATTCTATCTTTGAGTGCTTGCTTAGATACTGCTCATGTAGTTACTATTAGTAGTGGTTTCATGCTGGAAGTTTGTAGGATGTCTGAAGAAAAGAGTAGTGCTGTCCATTTGAAAGTAACTCCTTATAGTTTGCAAATTTTAGAGTATTAGAGAGTTAAAAGATGTTATTTCTGTTGAGCATGGTGATAAATGTCTGTAATCCCGCATCTTCAGGATGCAGAGTAGCAGGATTACAGTTAGAGACTGGCCCTTGGCAAAGAGTCAAGAGAACCTATCTGAAAAATAAAGCAAAAAGGATTGGGTATATGGCTTAGGTAGTAGAGTGTTTGCCTTGCAAGTGTAAGTCCCAAGTTCAAACCCCAATATTGGCTGGGGGGCGGGGGAGAGCGGCGAGAAACTTATTTGTTAAAAAATGAAGTACTGTATGCTTGAACTAAATGTCTACAACTGTGCTTTTGAAATTAAAAGAGAAAAACAATCTGTTTTGTTAAACTAGATGGAACTAGAAGTTTGCTGATAACATTTGTAGTTAATTCACTTAACTTGTTATTCCTTTTTTTTTTTTTAATCTTTAGATGGTGAGGTCTACAGCTTTGGGACCCTTGCCTGGAGAAGTGAACCAGCAGAAGTTTGTCCAAGTAGCCCCATTCTAGAAAATGCTTTGGTTGGGCATCATGTTGTTACTGTGGCTACAGGGAGCTTCCACAATGGAGCAGTGACAGATGGTGGCGTAGTGTACATGTGGGGGGAGAATTCTGCTGGCCAGTGTGCAGTAGCTAACCAGCAGTATGTGCCAGAACCGAACCCTGTCAGCATTTCTGATTCTGAGACCAGTCCTTTGTTAGCAGTCAGAATTTTGCAGTTGGCATGTGGCGAGGAGCATACTCTGGCATTGTCAATAAGCAGAGAGATTTGGGCCTGGGGTACCGGTTGCCAACTGGGTCTCATCACCACTACCTTCCCAGTGACAAAGCCACAAAAGATAGAACATCTTGCTGGGCGAGTGGTGCTACAAATTGCCTGTGGTGCTTTCCACAGCCTAGCCCTTGTGCAGTGCCTCCCGTCCCAGGATCTGAAGCCAGTCCCCGAAAGATGCAACCAGTGCAGCCAGCTCCTAATTACTATGACCGACAAAGAAGACCATGTGATTATATCAGATAGTCATTGTTGCCCTTTAGGTGTGACGCTGTCAGAATCCCAGGCAGAAAACCATGCCAGCACTGCCACCAGCCCCTCCACCAAGACCCTTGATAGTCAGGGAGAAGTATTTGAGAACACTCTTGTAGAAACTGGTCTACCTGTTCCAACTGAATTGAACATGGGAAGTGTTGAGACTGCAAGTGACAATGCCATTTCCTCCCATCAAAATGATGAGGGAACAACTGAAATTTCTTCCGCCAGAAACTTACCATCATACCCCGACACAAAGGCAGTAAATGAGTACTTGAAGAAACTGTCAGATCATTCAATAAAGGAGGACTCAGAGAAGGGCGAAAAAACACCACCACCTCAGGTACCCGCTCAATTTTATAATAAAGATATTTCAGAAGTAAAACCTTACATCCTTTTCCTCTAGGTGCTTTGAAATGCTGAGGTTTGGTAACACTTTTTGTTTTGTAAGTTTGATTATAATTCTGTTTTATTAGGCAAGCATAGATAAAGAATCTATATTTAGAACTCTATATGTTTAAGTTCTAGACCTTTATAATACTGAGAGATGTCATGGTGAGCCTGTTTTAGAAATAGCCAAATCCTATTTTTTTTTCTTTTTGTTTAAAGTACTTTATTGTAATTTTTTGATAAAGATTGTATACAGCAGGCCAGGTACCAATGGCTTATGCCTGTATTCTTAGCTACTCAGCAGGCTGAGAACTGAGGATTGCATTTTGAAGCCAGTCCAGGTAAGAAAGTCCATGAGACTCTTATCTCACACCAAACAGTCAGAAGTGGGGCTGTTTCTCAAGAGGTGGAATGCTAGGCCTGAGAGAAAAAGCTAAGGGACAGTCTCTCGGCCCTTAGGTCAAGCCCCAGTACTGGCACACAATTTGTTTTAAAGATGGTATAAAACACGTGTCCTTGGTCAAGTGAATAGGCAGTTTTCTGCTTAATTAAGTTGATAGTTGTGCATGGATGAATCAGAAAAGATAAAAGCTCCTGAGATAAAGGTTACCCTTTGTATTGGCAAAGTCCATAGCAAGAAAGAGCTTGCTTTCTACTTGACATAGCCAGTAGCAATAGTAGAAGCCATTATCTAGGCATTCTGGCCATTCCAAGTCTCTAAGGGGGTAGATTGCCATCTTTGGAAACTTTAGGATTCCAGTCCTTGGTTTAGTACAAAATCTCTGCAAAGGGGAACCACCCTGTGTGGGCCTCTAGAGCTCTCACTTTTTTCCCCCCAAAGATAACATACTTTTGAGCATCTTAAAGCCCCTTTGTGATACTGCAGATCCATTTGAGACAAACAGGGACCTGCACATGGGTTACTGTATAGAGGAGGGCCTGGTGTCTTTTCCTAACATGTCAGTAGGGATTACAGCAGGTGACCACATGGTCACCAAGGACTCCATATTTAGTATACCGAGAGGGACACAAAGAGCAAATCCTGTTTGGTTTTTTTCTTATTAGCATTTTTTCCTTCATTTGTATGGAATAACTTTGGTAGATCTCTGAATAGTTACAGCTAATAGATGCTCAAAACTATCACTGTACCACTTTGAGCCACAGCATCATTTCTGGTTTTCTGGTGGTTAATTAGAGATAAGAGTCTTACAGACTTTCCTGCCTGGGCTGGCTTTGAACTTTAATTCTCAGATCTCAGCCTCCTGAGTAGCTAAGATTATAGGTGTGAGCTACCAGTACCTGGCTTCATTGTATTTTTTTGATAGTTGATTTTTAAAAAATATTGGAATAAGCTATTTGGAGGAAGATATTGCAAACTATAAACAGGAAAAATAGAAATTTAATTGAGAATATACGAGGAAAAATTCTAGACTACATATTCTTATGAAGAAGTCTCCCTTTACCAGTTCTCTGGAGGCTGGGGTAGGACAATTATGAATTTAAGGTTAGCCTGGGCTACATAAGGAATGTCTCAAAATCAAAACAACAAAAAAAAGTTTGGATTTGTGAAAGTTATTTATGTATTCATTCACTCATTTAGTCAATGCTTGAGACTGAACCTAGGGCCTGTGCCTGCTAGGCAGGTGCTATATTATTGAGCTCTATCTTTAGTCATTGATTCCTCCAATTTAAATTAAAAGTTGGAAGTTTACTTTTGAAACCAGGTTTTGGTGGCTCATGCCTATAATTGTAGTTACTCAGGACGCTGAGATCTGAAGGATCATGTTTTGAAATCAGCTCAGAAAGTTCACTAGACTTCTCCAATTAACTGGCAGAAAACTGGGTTAGAGGAATGGCTCAAGTGGTGGATCACTAGCCATGAGGAAGCAAGCAGAGAGTGCAAGACCGTGATTGAATCAAGCCCATACATGCATACTCAAATACACACACAGTTTCCTGTATATAGCTATTAAGGTACCATTGAAATTAATATTTTTAAAAAATTTATTTTACTAAATACTTTTTTGTTATGCTAGTTTTAGTATCATGTGTTCCTTTTAAATTCATTCTTTGTAAATAATATTTCAGTCTTATAACCAACTAATAAAGAATTTGGTGTTTGGGGGTAGAATTAGAAGCACATTTTTCCTTGTAACTATTCTTGTATGCCAAAAGCTTTTGTGTATATGTGTATATTACATATATCTAATGGCTTTCCATTTTAGTAAATTGATATTTGGTAAATTTAGCCTGTTTTTCACTAAAATATTAGAAAACTTCAGTTTTTCTTTCTAACAGACCTATGAAACACAGTAAAAATATTAAAGATGTTTAATTATTAACTTGTCACATTTATCCTCTCTAGTAACCAGAGCAAAGTTTAATCCTTAAGCTTGTTTACCTGCTTGTTCATGGAAAATAATTCATTGATAAGACAGTGAGAGACTTGAGAGTATGTTTTCAGGACTGATACATTATGAGAATATATTAGGCCTGAATTTCCATTATAAAACATTTTAGAAAAGGCTTTTTCCCTTTAATAACTAATTTTTTCTGCTAGGTGTTAGTGGCAATTTTCATAAAATTTGTGGAAAGCGATCATTAATACAGGTTGATTTTGTTCTTTTTTGGCCTTTTCTAACCAGAGAGCCACTTTTTATCCTTCTCTCCCCCTTTCTGTGTTTAATTTTACAAGAGCAGATAGAACTTATTTTTAAATATGAAAGATAAGACCTTTGAAAGGGGGAAATACTTATTTTTATGTGTCTTTCTAGTACTGGATCTTGAACAAAGCTTTGGCTTTTTCTCTCATGGCTGGCACCTACCACTTCTAGCTTTTTTTTTTTTTTTTGGCTACTCTTCTAGCTTGAACTCAGAGCCTGGGCGCTGTCCCTAAGCCTCTTTGTGCTCAAGGTTAGCACTCTACCACTTGTTCCACAGCACCATTTCTGGCTTTTTCTGAGTAGTTTATTGGAGATAAGAGTCTTACAAACTTTCCTGCCTTGATCCTTGGATATCAGCTTCCTGAGTAGCTAGGATTACAGGCATGAGTCACCTGGCTCACTTCTAGCTTTTTGCTTGCTAATTGTAAATAAGAATTTGCCTGCCCAGGCTGGCTTTAAACTGAGATTCTCAGCTCTCAGGCCCCTCTGAGTAGCTAGGATTATAGTAATGAATAACTGACAAAGAACTCTATTTTGAATGCAATTTTTATATTATCTGTTAGGTCTGTAATTGGAAGAGAATACTTTTAAGTTGAAGATGAAACATCTCATGTTTTAGATTAAAAAACAGATTCTCACTATGAATCCCAGGTTGGATTGGAACTCATAATCCTCCTATTTCAGCCTCCTGAATACTGAGATTCTTAACAGGCACCATGATTACTGGCTTGTTTTAGATTTTTATGTGCAAGTAATGTGAACATTAAATTTTCTTTTTATTGACTTCTTGTTTTATAAGGGATTGCATTTTTGATTAGCAAGCATTGTACCAAGGAGGTTTCCTTGTGACATTTCCATATATGTAGAAAAGTATCCCAGTCTCCCTCAGTCTCTCTTACTCCTTACCCCTTCCTAAAACCATTTCAACAGGTTTCATTGCTGTATTTTCATACATACAAACAAGGACTAGTATTTTTATGTACTTTTATATGTGTATGTTTTAGCCTCTTGTAGAAGAAGCAGTTCCTAATCTTCACAGCCCACCAACCACAAGCACCTCAGCCCTCAACAGCTTGGTGGTCTCTTGTGCATCTGCTGTTGGTGTGAGAGTGGCAGCTACATATGAAGCCGGAGCCTTGTCTCTAAAGAAAGTTATCAACTTTTATAATACAGCCCCTTGTGAAACTGGAATTCAGACAGGCCCTGAAACTCTGAAAGATAGTAGAGAAGAACAGGTTAAACAGGAATCAATGCAAGGAAAGAAAAGTTCAAGTCTCGTGGATATCAGAGAGGAAGAATCTGAGGGAGGCAGTCGCAGACTCTCCCTCCCTGGATTGCTGTCACAAGGTAAATCTTTGGTGAATCCTAGATACTCCCTCCATCAATATTTTAAGAAGTTAGGAATTTAGTATTGATAACTGTACTGATCAGCAAGTCATTAATTTCATTAATATCAACTAGTTAATAACTATTAAATAAATATTAATTAATAACTTAGGAATTAGTATTCCCAAATATTTAAGCTGAGCTTTTCATTTAATAGTCTTTTACTAAACAGTAGTTTTTAAAAGAAAGCTTTTGCTTTAGGTATAACCACAAAATAAAACTTTTCCTTAAAGCTTAACCTGCCATTGATTGGTATACAAGATCTAGATAAGTTTGTGGGGAAAAAATGCTTTGAAACAAAAAAACCCAAAACACCTTTTTGTAAAAGACATCACTTTTTTTTAATTAGCATACACTAGTTGTTAAAGGAGGGGAGTTTCACTATGACATTTTCATACATGTATACAATGTGCCCCTTAGCCTCACCCTCTCTGTCACCTTCCCTTTCCCCTCTTATCCCACATCTTAAAACAGTTCCAACAGTTTTTTTCTTTTATTTTCATACATATACACACAGACATACATGCATGGGTATTTTCATACATGACCACATTCAAACTCTTAGTTTTTAACTACTTTGAAGCAGAGAAAATACTTGTCAGCTTTAATGTAGTACTTTGTTTAGCATTTTTTTTTGGGGGGGTCCGGTCGTGGGGCCTGAACTCTGGGCCTGAGCTCTGTCCCTCAGCTCTTCAGCTCAAGGCTAGCACTCTACCACTTGAGCCACAGCGCCACTTCCGGCTTTTTTCTTTCTGCTTATGTGGTGCTGAGGAATCGAACCCAGGGCCTCAGGCATGCAAGGCAAGCACTCTACCACTGAGCCACCTTCCCAGCCCTTGTTTAGCATATTCTTAAGAATTGAAATTCTATAGGATGTCGCTAGATTTTTACATGGAAAAGTATTCTGTGACCAAGTGATTGGCAGTGTGGATGTGTTAAATTTAAATGGTGTCCTTAATTTCTGGACTTGACAGCACTTTCTGTACTAATATGTATGAGTCTCTTCAGGGAGATAGCAGGTGAATAAAAATTTAGTAGGGAACATTTACCAAACTCATTTGTCTGTTATAAGTCCCTTTTGTAAAGACTTTATAGAATATACTTCAAATTTACCATGTTAGTGTATTTCTTTGAAAATTTTGGCTTATCAAAACATTGTCTTCCATACTTTCTATTCTGTCTCTCCATCTCTTGATTGTTTTCAGTTTCCCCCAGGCTCTTAAGAAAGGCTGCTCGGGTGAAAACGAGAACAGTGGTTCTGACCCCCACATACAGTGGAGAGGCAGATGCACTTCTGCCTTCTCTGAGAACTGAGGTGTGGACCTGGGGAAAAGGGAAGGAGGGGCAGCTGGGGCATGGCGATGTGCTGCCCAGGTAAGTGCAATCAGCATTCACTGATAAGGACTGGCTTAAACAAATAACCTGTCTCCTACAAAGGTCTCTACACATCCATTTCCTCTTTCAGGAAATGGGGTCCCATCCAGCTCCAGATTACAATGCATTAGCTGATTTAAAAAAAAAAAAAACCTGACATACATATATATGTGTATGTACATATATCTACGTATATGTGTGTGTGTGTATGCTAATCTTTGATATGTATTAATCTTTGAATACAGAAAATAGTGTTGGGGACGACATGGTATTTCATTGAAATAGTTGAATCATTAAAATGTATAGCTTACGTTGGGCACAGTAGTATATGCCAATAACCCAGCTCTCAGGAGCTGAGTTGAGGTCAGACCCTTTCTCACCCTCCTCCAAAAAAAATGCCAGTGCCCAAAGAAACATAGGTCCCATGGTTTCCCTTATTTGCAATATCTAGTATATGTATGAGTCAAGCGGAAAAGGTCAGATAATGTGATGTTAGGAAAATGAATCCTTAGATATATATTTTAATTTTTTTTCCTTTCATGCATTTGTTTCTAACGCATTTATAAGATTATCTCTTTGTAGCTTTGTATGTCCCTCCCCCACAGTATAACCCCTGCTTTCACTATATTTGATGTCAGTATAACTTGTAGAGGAGAGGGAGAAAAACAAGTCGTTTAAGGATACAGGTGGACCTGTTGCAACAATGAGAAGTACAAGTTGTCATGTCAAAAACGAGCTTTACAATGTTGGGGGGGGGGGGAAGCGGGGAGGATTGGGTGGGGGGTGGGGGGGAGGCTGGGAAGGGATGTGAAGAGTAAACAAAGGAGGAGGCTGCAATGCTTGATAAGAAATGTATGCATTAACCTGCCCATGTAATTGTAACCCCTCTGTACAGTGTGTTCACAAAAAATAAAAAAAAATGCCAGTGGGTTTATTTCTTTTAGTGACTTTCTTGCCCATGCTGGCTTAGAACTATAATCCTCCCAATTGTCTAGGGTGACAGGTATGTGTACCACCATGCCCAACTATTGATTGAGAAGTAGGAGTTCTTACATATATGCCCAAAATAACCCCAAAACAAAATGCTTCTAAAGTGTAGCCCCAGTAGTTCACATCTGTAATTCTACCTCCTGAGAAGATGAGGTCTGAGAATTGCTACCCTGGGTTAGAAAGTCAGTGAGACTCTTACCTTAACCACCAAAAAGCTGGGAGTGGAGCTGTGGCTCACTAGCCTTGAGCAAAAAAGTTAAGATATAGTGCCCAGGTCCTGAGTTCAAACCCCAGTACACACACACACACACACACACACGCACGCACGCACGCACGCACACACACACACACACACACACACGCACGCACCCTTCTGATCTCAGCCTCCCAACTAGCTAGAATTACAGGCATTATGGGGGTTATTATGAATTATGGGCGCTAATTAGTGATTGATAAAGACTGAAGTAAAGCCTTCCAAAAATGATTTACAATGTTTAAAAGTAGTGTGAACATTAAATCCATTATTTTTATTTTAATGTTTTATTTCTTTTGCTTGAAGACATTTACTGTAATTTGAGAAAGATCATGGTTCTTGCTGAGAATACTTAATACTTTGTGTTTTTTCTTTAAGACTTCAACCATTGTGTGTCAAATGTCTGGATGGTAAAGAAATCATCTATCTGGAGGCAGGTAGTTACCATTCTCTTGCACTTACTGCAAAATCTCAGGTAAGAGGCAAACTAAAGTATTTAATGCTGATCTTATTTTCATGAAAGGCCAACATAGTATGCCTGGACCATCACTTACTGAGTATCTTTAGTGTCAAACAGTGCCTTACTCATTTCAGCTTTCAAATACTTTTAGTGTGGTTCTTATAGGCTAAGAGAAATTATTTAACTTGTCTTAAGTCCCATACTTAATATTGACTTGGATTTAACACTAAACTGCTTGATGAAGAAGTTTGGGTGGTAGTTGAAAGCGAGCCTAACAAATACAAGGTCCTGAGTTCAAATCCCAATACCACCAAAACCTCCCCCTGCAAAACAACAAATAAAGCTATTAGCTTTCCCTATGTTCTGTCACCTAAAAATGAAATTCAGAATTTCCAGGGTATTGATTTTATTTTTTAAAGGTTTTCTGCCCCCCACCCCTAGTTCTGGGGCTTGAACTCAGGGCCTGGGCACTGTCCTTGAGCCCCTTTGCGCTCAAGGCTAGTGCTCTACCACTTGCGCCATAGCCCCACTTCGGGCTTTTTCTGTGTATGTGGTACTAAAGAATCGAACCAGGGGCTTCGTGCATGCTAGGCAAGCACTCTACCGCTAAGCCACAGTCCCAGCCTTAAAAGATATTCTTGAATGAAGAAAATCTATAGTAGACATTAAAAATACAAAACACATTTTTCTTTTTCAATTGTGAGATCTAGAAGGGACATCTGGCATATTTAAAATAATTTTTTTCTCATTTATATAGAAATCTTCCTAAGAAATTGCTTTTAGTTATTGTTTTTATCACTCAAGGGCTTGGTTCAATGCCCAGTACTGCTGTTCCGCCCCTTCCCCAACTATACACAGTTTAGTAGAACAGAAATAGGTCTGTAGAAGAAATAGACTCAATCGTATGAGTGTTTTGGATGTTATCAAAGTAGTCATATTAGTTCAGGAAATAACACTGAATATTTAATAAATGATGTTAGAACACTGTCTTCTATTTATAAAAGAAAAAAAGTTAAAATTTATGTATTCTACTTGTGCATAGACTACATATATAGTTTAAAAAATACATGATCAAGAATAAAATCAGGTGATTTTTTTTTTTTCCCAAATAATCTCAAGAGTAGAAAAAAGACATGACATTAAGTGGCAGACTTTCAGCTGAGCAAGCAAGCACAAGGCCCTGGGTTTAAGCCTGGTACTGGCAAAAATAAATACATACATGAAAATTTCTGACCTCAATTTTATTTTGCCTAGAAATTTTTCTTATAGAAATAGATAAACATATATCTTTACAAGTATGTATATTCAAGAATTGTTAGAGCTAAATATATGGTTCAAGTGGTAGCATGCCTGCCTAGTAATGCCCTGAGATTAATAAAAGGGGGGAAGATTTTTTGCTAGCATTAAAAAAAAAATTTAGTAGGTAATTGATTAAAGTATGCATATGATGGAGTTGTATATAGTTGTTAAAAATGGTGTTGTAGATGTAGGCTTATTGATGTTCAAATGTTAATTCATACCATTAAACAAAAAGAAAAAGCAATTCGATTTAGAAACAGCATTAGTAGTATGGTTCCATGGGCTAAGAATACCAGCTCAATGGTAAAGTGCTTGTCTAGCCTAAGGCCTTGAGGCTCTATTCCCAGCATGGCAAAAAAGAAATAATACTCTGTTTTATACTATATATATATATATGGGGGGTGGAAATCAGTTTTAGGATTAAATTGTGGCTATGCAGCTTACAATTTGTTACTTCGGTAATATAGTTAGCTTATGTGGGCCACTTTCCTTATATTGAAACAAAAAACAATTGTTGAAGGAATGAAACATTAAATAATACACAGAATGTGGGACCGACAGGGCTTGGTAGCTAGTAAGCACCTAAGAGGTTACTGGTTATTGGTAATCTCTGGATTCTGTGCTCTATGTGCCCTTTATTGCTGATTTTGTTCAGTTATGAATTTTTATAGTTTGGGCATTGTGGCACATGCCTGCAATTCCAATATTGGGAAGTAGAAACAGACGGATCATAAGTTTCAGACTAACCTGAGTTACATAGTGAGATTATCTACAAAACAGATTTTAATTTTCTTATTTTTTTTTTTTTGAGACAAGGTCTTGCTATGTAACCCAGACTGGCCAGGAACTCTCAGCTGTCCTGCCTTCTGAGTGCTGGGTGTAGAGGCATGGACTATCATACCTGCTAAATATTTATTTTAAATATCTAATATGAGTAGTTTATGCGTAACTATTAGTATATGATCATAGAGGCCCAGAGTTGGCCTGTAAGATCAAGATTCATACCTTTTACCGTACTTTATTTTTCTGATAGGTTTACTCATGGGGAAGCAATACCTTTGGTCAGCTTGGGCATTCTGATTTTCCAACAACAGTTCCTCGACTTATAAAGGTATTTTTTTTTTTACTTAATAGCAATTTATCTTCAAATTCTATATTATAACTATATTTGCTCATTGTGTTGAACAAATTTGTAGTCTAAATTTGTTATTTATTTACTTATTTATTTACTTTATTACTTTATTACTATTTGAAGTCAGAAAGCTGACTTCAAACCTCTAGAGGTACTAGGCACTGTCTCTGAGCTCTTTTGCTTAAAGCTAGCCACTAGGCACTGTCCCTGAGCTCTTTTGCTTAAGGCTAGTCACTTAAGCCACAGCTTCACTTCTAGCTTGTAGGTGGCCAATTGGAGATAAGAGTCCCTTGGATCATTTTGGCTTTGAACCATGATCCTCAGATCTCAGCCTCCTGAATATATAGGATTATAGGCATGAGACACTATTGCCCAGTCTTGCCTAGCTTTTTTGATGCTCTTGAACTGTGATCTTCAAAATCTCAGCCTTCTGAGCATTAAAAGCATGGCCACCAACACCTCGCTCCTGTTTAAAAAAAATTTTTTTTTGCCAGTCCTGGACTTGAATTCTGTCCCTGAGCTTCTTTTGCTCAAGGCTAAAACTCTACCATTTGAGACACAGTGCCACTTCTGGCTATTTCTGTTTATGTGGTACTGAGGAATCGAACCAGGGCTTCACCCATCTACTACTAAGTCACGTGTGTGTGTGTGTGTGTGTGTGTGTGTGTGTGTGTGTGTGTGTGTGTGTGTGTGTGTGTGTGTGTGTGTGTGTGTTTGGTAGCTCTGGGGCTTAAACTCAGAGGCTTAGGTTTGCTAGGCAGGAATTCTACCACCAGCTTCCAGCCTTTAGGTGTTCTTAATTTTTTTTTTTTTTAACATGAAACCACTTCTTTTCAAACTAAATGCACTTGTAAGAAATGTGTTTTTTTTTTCTTGGCCTTATTCACTGAGTATATTACCTTATTCTTTTTTTAAACAAAAACTTAGAGTACTTTCACTTAAACTGAAAGTTTTTAAGAATGTGATATTTTCTGAGCTTTTGCTATCAAATGATTACTCTGACTTCTCACTTTAATTTGCCTTTTACAAGCCATTTTTTTATGGTGTTGCATTTATAACAAATATAATAGTAAACCTTTTTTGTGAGCTAAAAATATAGGTGACATTTTCACTATTGAATGGATTTGGTTTAGTTTATTAAATGCTACTTCTAGGTCTTCATGTAATTCTTTTTTTTTTTTTTTGCTGGTCATGGGGTTTGAACTCAGGGAATGAGCACTATACCTGAGCCTCTTTATGCTCAGGGCTAGTACTCTGTCACTTGAACCACAGTACCACTTTCAGCCTTTTCTGAATAGATTATTGGAGATGAGTTTCATGGACTTTCCTGCCCCAGCTGGCTTCAAGCTGTAATAGTCAGATCTCAGCCTCCTGAGTAGTTAGCATTATAGGCTTGAACCACCCGTTCCTGGCTTCATATAATTCTAGAACAGTGTTCTTCAGCCTTTTTTTTTTTTTTATTTGCTGTACCATCCTGAGTTGTTAGCTTTTCTTTTCTTTTTTTGTTGGAAGTACTAGAGTTTGAACTCAGAGTCTTGTTCTTGCCAGTTAGGCACTTTACTGTTTGATCCATGCCTCTAGTCTTTTTTTGCATCGGTTGTTTTGAAATAGGGTCTTGCTTCTTGCATCATACTTGGACTTGAATCCTTTTATTTTGCTTCCATAGCTAGGATGATAGGTGCACACCACCATGTCCAGCTCATTCCATTGAGTTAGTCTTCCCAAGCTGGCCTGGAACAGTGGTCCTTCTAATCTTAGCCTCCCACAAAGCTAGAATTACTGTCTTGACCCAACATACTATACCACAGCTTCTTTTCCTCCTCCTCCCTTCTCTTCTTCTAGAAAGAAAGGTTTGGATTTTTTTTTTGGTATGAGACAGTATAGTGTGCATCTGAAGAATCATAGAAGAATGTGATATGGAGCCTGTGTTTATGTAGTTTGCTTATGATAACACTCTTGTCCCAGGAGAAACTCTTTTATTGAGAATAGCCTAAAGAAAGGGTAGTTACCTCAATGTGAGGATAATGATCCAAGTCTATACTACAGTATTACAATTATTCATGTGTCAAAGGCACACTCTGTATTTGTTACCAAGACTCTTATTGATGCTTTTCTTTTCAGTGAACTTAATTTTACTGGGAAGAAATGACAACAAAATAGTTAAGAATAAGCTACTGATTCTTGCCTCAGTCTTCAATAATAAGCCATCTGGTATCTATTACTGTTTTTTTTTTAGTTACTTAAAGTAAGAAGTGAACCTATCATACTAAAGAAAGTTTTGTAAAACATTGTTGGAGATCCTAGAAAGTAAACATTTATTTAGCATTTTAGAGATGAGAGAACAGAATTTGTTACAGGGTTTTACTTCATTCTTTCATGGTATATACAGAAAAGTACAGTATCAAGATTTTGACTTTTTAAAATACGTATTTGGGGAAGAGGACAAAGGGTTGTAAGTGGTGCTGGACATTGAACCTGGTGCCTTATGCATGCTAGGTAAATGCTCTAGAACTGCACTATCCATCCTGCATAGATAGAATGATTTTTGAGGGGCCGAGAAGGTGGCTCAGTGGTAGAGTGCTTGCCTTGCATGCATGAGGCCCTGCGTTCGATTCCTCAGCACTACATAAGCAGAGAAAGCAGAAGTGGCGCAGTGGACCAAGAGGTAGAGTGCTAGCCTTGAGCTGAAGAGCTGAGGCACAGTGCCCAGGCCCAGAGTTCAGGCCCCATGACCAAAAAAAAAAAGAATGATTTCTGAAGTCATTCTAAATAACCTATGAAAATTAAAAGTTAAGACAGTGAGATTTGCATTTGTTAAGAAATTAAGATTACATATTTGGAATCCTTACAAAACAAAAACAGGAGGATTGTGAATTTGAGTTCAGTCTGGGCTATGTAATGAGGCCCTATCTCAAAAAAAGAAGGGAGGGAAGGTGTACTCTTTTCTTCTATGGATGTTTTAATTCACTCATTTGGATAACTTGAATTTGAGGACTTCTTGTCAGAAGAAGATAGTCATGTAGTAGTGGAGATAGACACAAGTACACACAGGTTCTCACAGTCCCCTAGTATTTGGATCTTATCTAGACATAAAGAATCTAATGGATTAGGGTTATCTATATAAGAGTCAAGGCTGAATCTAGATCAAGAGACTTGGGGTAGTAGTTTTGAAACAGTACACTTTGTTCTGTGAAATCTGTGGAATACCATGTACAAAATAGATCAATGTCAACTGCTTTAATTGAAGAACTGGAAGGTACCTAGATCCCTGGTACTTGCCTTTGCATTGTAGCTTGTAAATCACTCCATGGGTCCTAAGGTTTGAAATTCAGTTGTTTAAAGCAGTGATTCTTAAACTTCTGTATATATGTTGGAATCTTCTGGAGGTCTTGTTAAATCAGTACTGGATCCCCTTCTAGGTAACTGTGGGGCCTGAGATGTTCATTTCTACCATATTCTAAGTGATCTGCTGCGGCTGTTGCACACACCACTCTTTAGAAACCACTAGTTTAGAGGTCCACATACATGGACTGCTCAGGGGTTCTTGCCTGTTTCAACATCAGAGAAGTAGTTAGTGAGTTACCATTGGGGAACTGAATATTAGCACCTCACAGCTTAGTTGTCAAGAATGAAATTTACCCTAATTAGATTTTTTTGGTTTGCTTTGATTTTTGTGCACAGAGCTGAATGTAAATTGACAAATGTGCATCCTAGACATCAGTTTTAGAGTAGGGCTCTAGAAATTTCTGGAATTGTTGATTGTAATATTGAATATTTATAGAGACTTCAAAAACATAAAACCTTAAATCCATGGGTTTTTCTTTTTAAATTCTATTTTTCTGATTTTTATGAAAATCAACCAGTTCATGGCCAGGTTCTGGTGGCTCATACCTAAATTCCTAGCTACTTAGGAGGTTGAAATCTAAAGATCACAATTTGAAGCCAGCCCAGGCAAGAAAGGCTTGAGATTCTTATGTCCAATTAACTACCTAAAAACAGGAAGTGGAGCTGTGGCACAAAGTAGTAGAGTGCTAGCTGTGAGCAAAAACAAAAACTCAGGAACAATGCCCAGGCCCTGGGGTCAAGACACATGACCAACAACAAAAAAACAAATTTATTTTTTAAAGTTCCAATTAAAAAGCTGAACATGGGGTTTCTTTTTACTCTTACATTGGTTACACTGCTGAGTGCATGTTGCCCTCTGCGGTATAGCTGACTTTGTATCATACCTGCCTAAGTAACCTAACATTTCAGTTCCTGTGGATCTCAAGCTCTCTCTGATTGACTTTGTCTTGGACCAATAATACCTTTCTGTTATTACAGTTAAGCAGTGAAAATGGAGTCTGGAATGTAGCTGCAGGCCAGGATTTTTCCCTGTTTTTAGTGGATACAGAAGATTTCCAGCCTGGATTGTATTACAGTGGCCGACAGGACCCTGAAGAAGGTGCCAGTCTTCCAGAGAATCCTAGTGGTACTAAGACTCCAGTACTTCTCTCTTGTAGCAAGGTGAGCAAGAATTGGATTCTAAGGTCCACATTCCAAAATACAAGAGGAGTCTCTTTTATTTAAAATTGAAAACTTTTAAAAATTGTATCATTTCACCCCTCCTCCTACCTTATTCTTTCCATAAGCCCCATCACCATTCAGAACACTGTAACTTACTCTTTCTCTATTATCTGTCCTTTGTTATAATGTTATGCCCAGGGAGTAGGATTTAGGCTCTCCTGTTCATTGCTGTGTCCTCAGTACATATATTTTTAAATTTTTATTTATTTTATTTTTGAGACAGTGTCTTACTGTGTAGTTGAAGGTGGCCTTAAATCTCAGTCTTTCTGCCTCCACCTTCCAGGTGCTGGGATTATAATTATGCTGTGGCACAGTATATACTTTTTAAATATTTGTTGAATTCACATCCTCTTGCAGGATTATTGAAAAGCGCTTTTCACAAATAAGTTCCTTTGTTTTATGGATCCCTCACAGGTAAATAGAGTAAAAGTAGAATAGAGGGATTTGTAACTGTAAATGGGAAGTAAAAACTGCAGGGGCCTTAGGTGGGCTCATGGCAGACCAGGAAAGCCTGACAGAGCTCTGTTGTTTTTTTTTTGTTTGTTTGTTTGTTTTTAACCACTCACCTGTTCTTAGTTTTATTTTATTTCCTGCTGTTATATCCTTTTCTTTTGAAAATCTGAAGTTCTTCCAAACAACTCACATGCTACAGGAATTTAATTGTCAATACTAGTGCATTCTAGATTTCTTATTCTTACTGAAAACTGTTCTCATATGGGTTATGTTTTAGTGTTTGATTTGGCCTTGACCTATAGATGGCTTGTTTTTTCAGGCATGCAATTTGGTTCTTTGTGTTTGTTGGCCCTGGCTCCACATTCTTTGTAAAAGGTCTACAGTTCTGATAAAGGATAAAATAGATTGAAATAGTGGCAAAAGGGAAGAGGTTCTAGAGTATCAATGGCTATCATGGATTGTTAGTGGTCTGCTGGGTGTGTTATACCTGGCCTACCTAGCTTAATAAGGTTTAGTGAGTAAAGACATGGAATGGTTTTGTTTATGATAAAAAAAAAGGGATAAATGAGAAAAAGTTTCTTTTAAAGGAAATCATTCCTTCTTCCTCCCCCTCTTTTCTTTTGGAGGAGAAGGGATGGGGATGATTATAGTACTGGAGATTGAACTCTAGGCTCTCTCTTGTTTGTTGTGTTTTTTTCTTTGAGGTAGGGTGTTAGAGCCTAGGCTGGCCTTGAGCTCCTAATTTCAAGTGATTTTTTTTTTCCAATCTTAGCCTTTTAAATGCCAAGACTACAAATCTGTGCTACCACGCCAAGCCTTGAAAACTCTTTTAAAAAATACTTTTATTTGATTAACACATACTAATTATACATATTCATGGAGTACAGCGTGGCATTTCAGTACACGTATACAGTATGTAATGTAAGATCAGGGTAACGTGGATCTATCACCTCAAATATTTTTCTTTTCTTTGTGTTACTAACATTTAACACCCTTTCTTACTTGTTTTAAAATATTCAGTAATACTTGTCAACTGTAGTTATCCTATTGTACTGTATGTAGCGCCTTAGAAGTTATTCTTGCTATCTAACTATCCCCTATACCATTAACCATCCTCCCTTCTCTATACTCTTCTCAGGCCCTGCTAACCACTATTTTAATTTTCTAATTATATAAGATCAGCTATTTTAGTTTTCACATATATTATTTGTCTTTCTGTATCTGACTTATTTCACTTAATATAATGCCCTCCAGTACTGACAATTTATTCACTTTTTTTGTGGCTTAAGAGTACTCCATTGTATAAGTCCTATATTTCTTTATCCATTCATCTGCCAGTGAGCACCTAGGTTAATTTCATATCGTGGTTATTGTGAACAGCACTGCAGTAATTATGAGTGCAGATGTCTCTTTATTGTATTGATTTTGATTCCTTTGGGAAACTGTCCAATAGTGGGAATCCTGGATCATAAGGTAATTTTTCTGCTTTTTGGGGAACCTCCAAACACTTTTCTATAATGGCTCTATTAATTTACATGCTTACTAACAGTATCTTGAGTTCCTCTTTCTTTATATCTTTACTATCATTTTTCTCTTTGACAATAACATTTCAAATTGGGGTAAGATACATCATGGTTTTAATTTACATGAATAGTGATAGGATTATTTTTCATATATTCACCAGCCATTTGTCATTTGCATACTTTCCTTTGAGAAATGTGTATTCAGGTTGTCTTTTTTTGGTGACAAGGTTTTACTATATAGCCCAGCTGGCCTGGAATTCACAATTCTCTTGCTTCTATCTCCCAGGTATTATTCATTTGTATTTTTATTTATTTATTTATTTTTGCCAATCCTGGGGCTTGAACTCTGGGCTTGGGCACTGTCCTTGGGCTCCTTTTAGCACAAGACTAGTGTTCTACCACTTTGAGTCACAGTACCACTTCTGTTTTTTTCTGTGATTAATTAGACATAAGAGTCTCATGGACTTTCCTCCCTGGCTGGCTTTGAACTGTGATCCTCAGATCTCAGCCTCCTGAATAGCTAGGATTACAGGCGTGGGCCACCACCCTGCTATATATTGCTCATTTTTTAACTGGATTATTTAAACTTTGTGCCTTTTTGCTATTGGGTTTTTTGTTTTCTGCAAATCCTGGGGCTTGAACTCTGGGCTTGGGCACTGTCCCTGAGCTTCTTTTTTGCTCAAGGCTAGCAGTCTTACCACTTGAGCCATAGTACTACTTCTGGCTTTTTCTATTTATGTGGCCCTGAGGAATCGAGCCAAGGCTTCATGCATAATATGTATTAGTGTGTGTTAATCAAATAAAATTCATTATATATATTATATTACATTAACTATATTATATATATAAATCCCATGTTGAATGAATAATTTACAAGTTGTCTGTTCACTTTATTGTTTATATTCCTTTGCAGAATTGAGTTTGATATTCCATGTGTCACTTTCTCCTATTGTTGCTGATACTTTTGAGATTCAAAAACATCTTTCCCAGACCAATATCCTGAAGCATTTCCTTCATATTTTCTTAAATAAAAGTCCTTTATGTCCCATTGTTTAGAGGAAGATAGCTTCTGGGTCCTTGATACTTTTATGTGCAGTGTGGGGTTCCTCTCTGTTCTCATCTTATTTCATGCAAAAGGAGCTCCTGAGCCATGTAACATTTGGATCTCTATGTTTCTTGGGTGTCTGTGTTTCTAATCACTTGTAAAGTGAAATAAAAAAAAAATCTTGATTATAGCTGAAAGTAGATTTATATATATATATATATATATATATATATATATATATGCAAAACATTGCACCATTAAGCAAACAAAAAAGATCCTACCTATCTTGTTTATAAATTTTCACCGTCTCATTTCAAGCTCTAAATGGTTTAATATTCTGCTTTAAAAAATGCCTCCATATTTAACTGTTTGCTCTAGCCAGGCAAAATGAGTCATCTTTGCCATACCACGTTGCTATTCATACACTATGTTTTATTTTTACAATCTTTTTCTTTTTCTTTTTTTAGCTTGGATATATAAGCAGAGTAACGGCAGGAAAAGATAACTATCTTACATTGGTAGACAAAAACATTATGGGGTATATCGCCAGTCTCCATGAGTTGGCTACTACAGAAAGACGGTTCTATTCAAAACTAAGTGATATCAAGTCTCAGATACTCAGGCCTCTTCTCGGTTTAGGTAAGTTGAGACTTCTCCCTACTCAACCCCAAGTCATGAAAATTCTAGCTCTATCTGTTCTTCCTTATATCATAAACCAATAAAGCCATGCTGGTGCCAATGGCTTACACCTGTAATTCTAATTACTGAAGAGGCTGAGACCTAGAACATGTTGGTTTGAAGCTAGCCCAGGCAGAAAAGTCTGCAAGACGCCATCTTAAATTAACCAGCAAAATACTCAGCTGGAGTCATGATTCAGGTAGTAAAGTAATGGCTGTGAGCAAGAAACTCAGTGAGAATTTGAAAACTACTCTTTTTCTTCCTTTTTTAGAAAGAGACAAGATCCCTCTAAGTTACCCAGGTTGACCTTGAACTCCTAGGTTCAAGCAGTCTTCCTGCCTCAGCCTTCCTCAGGGCCTGGGCAATGTCCCTGAGCCTCTTTGTGTTCAAGGCTAGTGCTCTACCACTTGAGCCACAGCACCACTATCAGCTTTTCTGAGTAGATTAGTGGAGATAAGAATCTCACGGGTACTTTTCTGCCCTGGCTGGCTTTGAACCTTGAACCTTAGATCTCAGCCTCCTGAGTAGCTAGGATTACAGGCCATGAGCCACTGGCACCCAGCTAAGAAAATCTTTTGAGTTGTGGGTTTTTTCTTTCTTTTCATTCTCTCTCTCTCTACCTCCCCCTCCCCCTCCTTCCCCTCCCCCTCTTCCTCTTCCTCCTCCGCCTCCTTCTTCTCTCTCTCTCTCTCTCTCTGTACAGGTCTCTCTCTGTCCTATCCTACTGCTTCTCAAAATACTTCTGCTTTTATTCTGTAGAAAGTAGAGCTTTTAGGATATGTACAACTGAAAAGGAGAAACTGCATTAGTGAAAGTTGGCCCTAGAATCTGGACTTCGAGGAAACACTCTTGGGTCCACTAGTCCTTAGATATGTTCCATGCTAATTTTTCCTTTTCTTTGGTAAAATTATACCAGGTGAAGAGTCATTGGGATTTACAAGTCATTAGCATCTTATTCTACATTAGTGTGACTTGATTAAATCTGGAAACCTGACATGTTTTTGCTTAGTTACAAAGAGGGATTGGGAGTAAGGCTATGTAGAGGTTGAGGTTATAGGTTTACCATAGTACTCAGTTGGATACCACTCTCCAGGTGTACTAGGTACTTGAGTCTGTAGGACAGTAGAAAGGAAGGCAGCATAGAGATGGGGCTTGATTGGCATGCAGAAAATGGACAGGGAGTTTTCTTTTATACTCCCTCACCATTTTTTTTTAAAATTTTTTTGGTGCTAGTCTTAAGGCTTGAACTCAGGGCCTCGCACTGCTCCTGAGCTTTTGTGCTCAGGGTTAGTGCTCTACCACTTTAAGCCACAGTGTGATTTTTCAGCTCTTTTAGTAGCTAATGAATTGGAGATAAGTGTCTCAGGGACTTTCCTGTCTGGGCTGGCTTTGAACTGCAATCCTCACATCTCAGCCTCCTGAATAGCTAGGATGAGTAGCCATCAATGCCCGGCTTCCCTGGACCCTTCTTAGGATGCAATTTAGGCTAATACTCAGAACATTTTGCATTAAGATGATATTGGTTGATATAGATGGGTCCTTCTTTTTAAAATGGAAAAACATCTACTTTTCACATAACTAATTTACAGTTTTTGTGAATACAATCCCTGTGTAAATTGGGGACTCTGCTTTGTTTTGTTTTTATTATGTTTTGTTATGTATTGTACAGTCCCTTTCTGAATGTTCCTCTTGTTATGCTGGGACTATCTGTAGGGTTTAGGCAAAGAAAAGGCAGCCCAAACTGAAAGGAAAATGCAGCTTGCCCTTTCCCTGGGCCTGCTTCCTGACTTCTATTATCTTACCTCGTCTGCTCATCAGCCTCATTGTTTCGAATAAAGTCTTAGAAATGAGGAACTTGGTTTTGGAAAAGACAGATAATATGCTGATGCCATCTGAGTTTTAGATTTTCTTCTCTGCACTGAAGACGTAGCCTTGTAGGTCAAATAGAGTAAGGCTGAGTAGAGCAGAGGTTAGAATAAGAAGTTGGAAATATTATCATAATTACAGAAGTAAATTAAATTAATTCCTGCTGTCACTAATTATATGAAATCAGTGAAATTGTATGAATTATGAAATGGCTTTAGCTCATTTTCAAATTTTCAGGAGTATTTGGCTGATATCATCTGAGAAACTTTTTGTTTGTTTGTTGGTTGGTTTGTAAAATCCTGAGATCTTAATACTAGATCTTTTGGGTTAGAATTATAAGGTTCCTGTGAATGTGTTTTGAATATATGTCTTAGATGACTGGGTTTGGATTCCATAGGTAAAAATATACCCCAAAAAGAAGTATTCTTAGAAAAGTTCATAATATTGATCTTAGGACCACAAGAAAATATGTCATCATCATTATTTTGTTACAGAAAATTTGGGTACTGTGACTACAGTCCAGCTGTTGCAGGAGGTGGCAAGCCGATTCAGCAAGCTGTGTTACTTAATTGGCCAACATGGAGCCTCACTGAGTAGCTTCCTTCAAGGGGTAAAGGAAGCCAGGAGTTTGGTCATTCTGAAGCATGCAAGTCTCTTCTTGGATAGTTATACAGAGCAAGTATCCAGTCCTGTGTCATGTTCAATCTCTACAGGGTTATTCTGCCAAAGGAGAGCAGGTCCTTAATCAGAAGAGACTAGATTAGGGAGAGTGACAAGGTAATAGAAATTAAAAAGCAGTATTTTAATCTTAAACCAACTATAGTTCTGCATTGCCAAAACTCATTGTTCTTTAAAAGGGGGAAAATGGTTTAAAAATAATAAATTCTTATTTTTTTATATTCTAGCATAGTGATTGATAGAGTACTTATTTGCATAAAAGAATTGGAAGCAGTGGTGCAGGCCTTATGAGACTAAGGCTGGAGGATTTTTGAATTTAAGGCCTGCCTGTGCTACATAGGAAGGCCTTCTCTAAAAACCGAACACCTCTGCAGCCAGCAAAACAAATGTACTGCAGTATATCTGGTCATTTTGTTTTCTTAAGTAAATTATACTAAAATTAGAGGAAAGAAGTAACTAATTTTAAGACCAATTGTAAATATGCAGCTACTCTGATGTCTGCATTTTTTTTACTGTTGTATAAATGAACTTAAAAGGACTGACTACATTTGACATAAAAATATTTTCTTGGGCTGGGAAGGTGGCTTAGTGGTAGAGCGCTTGCCTTGCATGCCTGAGGTCCTGGGTTTGATTCCTCAGCACCACATAAGCAGGAAAAAAAAAACCGGAAGTGGCGCTGTGGCTCAAGTGATAGAGCGCTAGCCTTGAGCTGAAGAGCTGAGGGACAGCACCCAGGCCCTGAGTTCAGGCCCCACAACCGACCAAAAAAAAAATTTTTTTTTTCTTAACAAGACCTACCATAGTTATATCCAAGGTTTTTAAACATTTTTTAAACATTTTAAATTAAAGTATTTGAAGGCTTAAATATTTTTAAATAAAATATCTCAAGTATATTTGATAGTTAGCTTAATTTCTTTTTTCTTGATTTACAGTTTGATACTATGATTCAAAGCATAATTGAAGTCTTATTCTAATGTGCCCTAGACTCTGCTGTCCATATGAAATATGTATTGTCTTTATTCCTTGTTTATTCATACCTCATCCTAATAACAAATACTGAGTACCAGCAAGTGCCAGACACTGCATGGAGCTCCTCATTCACTGTAGCCACAGCATGGTTCAACAAGAAGCACCTGCCCTCAGGGGGTTCATGCTCTACCTGATTTTTGTTAGGTTATTTAAAGCATGAGTAATGTATGCTTGTTATTGAAAACTTAAAGCAAAGATAACCAAAGGGATATTTAAAGTTGCCCTGCCAATGGAAATAATTCTGTTAATCAGTTTAGTGTTTTTCCTTTCAGAGTTACAGATATAAGGAATTTCAGTTCTAAGCAAATTAAATATACTTAAGACTGTTGTTTGAGATGTACCATCTTGGTTTGAATATTTTAAGTCCCATCTTTCAGACATGAAAATAATAATACAACTTGATACTAACTTTAAAATTACATTTTTGTTTGTGTGAAGAGTTCAGTTTTTATTAGTATAATTTTCTTTTGACTTGTATTTATCTAATAATACCTCTATCCATTTCTTTTTCTTTTCTGATACTTTAGGACAGATGCTTGAAAGAAAATTTATTTTGATATCTTGAGCTGCTTTTTGAAACATTTTAGATAGGGCAAATAAAAGTAGACATAGATGCATTTAAAATTATTTTAATTATAAAAAATACCTAAAATATATTTTAGGTGATACTGTAGTAGTATGTAGATTCTATTATAGTAAAATAACACCTAAACTTACCATAATAAACCTTTTCAAAGAAAGACTCCAGCATGTGGAGCTGTTATTAGCCTTTTTCTTCTCTCACAGAATTGATTGATTGCTAGGCTCAGGATCATGAAAGACATGTAGCTGATTCACGTTACTTTATCAACATTTGTTCCCTAGCAGTATTTCATTATTTAATCAGTGTATTCTGATTCTTATGCAAACTCTTTTAACATGCTTAATTACTTCCAGTCTACTTTCTGAAGACTTAATTGAGAAACCTGAAGTGAAGAGAAAATTTTCATTAAAGATCCAACAATTTTAATTATATTTTCTCCAGCTTGTTAAGTTACCACCTAACTTACCTGCTGGGCAAATTCTGGCAACTTCTGTTCAACTTCAGGTGTTTTCAGAAATTTCTTTTTTTATACTATTTTTATGAAACTGGTGTTCACTCTTTGCCCCCACCTGCTGTTTTTCTCAGTCCTTTACAGTTTTTGAATGTTCTGAGACTCATTGGTAAGATTTTAAGATGTTTGTTCTAGACACTTGTTTGAGAACTGTTTGTTCTAGTTTAAATTTCACCATTGATGTAAATTTATTTTCTTCTTCACTTAAGGTATTGTATATCAATTACAAATTTCCTGGTTATGGGTGGATTCCAACTTCTTGCTAAGCCTGCCATGTAAGCAAAACATACACCTTCCAGTTTTCCTTGTAAAACCAATGATTAAGTTTTATACTGTTTATAAGTTTTATACTGTTGTGTATTTTAAGGGGGATGTGGTTACAGTTACCTAAGTCAGATAATGAGTATATTTCTTTTTGGACAGTAGTATCACTCCTTCCCTCACTCTCTCTCAGTTTTTCCCTTTAATTTTTTTTTTCATCTAAAAAAGAATATGGCTGGAGGCATGGCTTAGTGGTAGAGTACTTGCCTAGCAATCACAAAGTTGAGTTCAAATCCCATTAACTCCAAAATATAAGAAAGAGAATATTCTCTCTCATGTTAGTAAATAGTAAATAATGTCAGAGATGGTTAAAACAAAACATACATTGCATGAATATAAAGTGTTTGCATGTAGCTTTGGGTAAACAATATGAAAACCCTTTGTATGAGACTAATAAGCTTGAACTTCGTTTCTCAAGACATGTTCTAGCAATAAAGGCAAGTTAAAAAAATTCTACTTTAGTAGAAAGTATTTGAGTTGTTTGCTTTTATTCCACATTTAACAAATGTTAAGGTTTGTGCTTTTTTCTTTTATTCTTCTATCCTAATAGGAGTATTAACATCTTTATCTCACTTCTGATTTTAGAAAATGCTTTTTTCACCATTAAAGATGATTAAGTTTTTGTATATATTATTTGCAGGGCTAAACACTTCCATCCTAAAAGTTAGAGAAGGAGCTGGGAATATGGCTTAATGGTAGAGTGCTTGCCTAGCATGCATAAAGCCCTGGGTTTGATTCCTCAGTACTACATACACAGAAAAAACTGGAAATAGAGCTGTGGTTCAAGTAGTAGAATGCTAACCTTGAGTGAAAGAAGCTCAGGGATTGTGCCCAGGCCCTGAGTTCAAGCCTGAGGACTGGCAAAAAAAAAAAAAAAAGTTAGAGAAGAGTTGATTTTTTTGTTGTTGTTGTTAATGTTTCTAGGCTAGCACAAAAACCTAGGGCTTACCTTGCACTCTTCTCCTGAACTACAACTCCACTCCTTGAATGATTCTTTTTTCTTTTGTGCTGGTACTGGGCTTGAACTCAGGGTCTAGAGCTGTCCTTTAGCTTTTTTGCTCCAGGCTGGCACTCTACCACTTGAGCCACAGCTCCACTTCAGGCTTTTCTGGTGCTTAGTTGGAGATAAGAGTCTCATGTACTTTCTTGCCTGGGCGGGCTTTGAACTGCAATTCTCAGATCTTAGCCTTCTGGGTAGCTAGGATTGCAGGTCTGCCACCAGCACTCCACTGAGAAGTTCATTTTTTAAAATTTGTTTGAACTCAGGGCGGCAAAGAGTGTCTGGCTTTCTTCCTTTGCTGGTGTTCTACCATTTGAGCCGTGCCTCCAGCAAGACTTTGCTGGCTATTCTGGAGATGGAGTCTCATGGCGTTTTCTCTTCCTTTTCTGATTTTGAACCAGCTCTTCTGGATCTCAGCCTTTGGAGTAGCTAGGAGATTATAGTTGTGAATGAATGACTCCAGCTTAATGACACTATTTTTTCAGTTCTTTTACATTCAGCTTTTCTGTATCATCTTCTAATATTTTTGTGTATTGTAAGAAGCACATAGATGTACTTTTATAAAAATACTTTATTGTTATTATAAAGATGGTAAATAGAATGACTACAATTACACAAGTCAGGTAATGCGTACATTTCCTTTCATACAGTGTCTTCCTCTCTCTCTCTCTCTCTCTCTCTCTCTCTCTCTCTCTCTCTCTCTCTCTCTCTCTGCTCTCTCTCTCTGTCCTTCCCTCCCTCCCGTCTCTACCCATGGAGTTGTATAGTTCACTTTCATCAGTGTCCAGTGAATCCCACTGCACTTTTCACCCTTTTTCCCTCTAGATGGGCTTTTTAACCAACTTATATTTTTCAATCAAGCTTCTGGCTTTGACAAGTTCACAATTGTCGAAGTATGAACTTAGAATTGTGGGTTTCATGTTTATAATCTTTTATGGGTTTTTTTGTCATGGGCTTGAACTCAGCCTGGGATCTGTCCCTGAGCTTTTTCACCTAAGCTCTACCACTTTGAGCCACAGCGCCACTTCCAGTTTTCTGGTGGTTAATTGGAGGTAAGAGCCTCACGGACTTGCCTGTCCAGGCTGGTGTTGAATTGCATTCTCAAATCTCAGCTTCCTGAGTAGCTAGGATTATAGTGCCCGGCTTTATAATCTTTTTATTGTCTTTTTTTTTTTTTTTTTTTTTGTCAGTTGTAGGTCTTGAACTCTGGGCCTGGGCTCTATCCCTTAGCTCTTCAGCTCAAGGCACACATTCTACCACTTGAGCCACAGCTTCACTTTCAGTTTTCTGGTGGTTAATTGGAGATAAGAGTCTCATAGATTTTCCCACCTGGTCTGGTTTTGAACCATGATCCTCAGATCTCAGCCTCCTGAGTAGCTAGGATTATAGGCATGAGCCACCAACACCCTGCTTAATCTTTTTATTATAATGATTTAAAAAAGCTCTAATGTTGATGAGATGCTGAATTGTAGCCAATCCAATAATTAAAAGTAGAAAGAACACTAATTTTTTTTTTTTTTTTTTTTTACAAATAATGTTGCTTGAAGAAAACCAGATTTAATCACAGATAATACAAAAGTATACAAATATTCTTGGCAATGTAAATGGGAAGCTTGAGGGCTTTGTTGCTAAGAATTATATGCTATATCTATAAAATATCAGCATGATGCCCAGCATATAATTGTGACTCATTCACTGACAAGATGATTCTGTCCCACCAGTTTTTCTTTATAAATCTTTTTTGTGTCTTGGTCTAGCGAGCATGGTCCAATTATTTTTTTTGATCAGCACTGAAATTTGTTAATAAAAACTTAAGAATGAGCTCGGTGCTGGTGGCTTACACCTATAATCTTAGCTACTCAGGAGGCTGAGATCCAAGAATCATGGCTCAAAGCCAGCTCAGGGAAGAAAGTTCCCAAGACTCTCATCTCCAATTAGCCACCAAAAAAAGCTGGAATTGAAGCAGTAGCTTAAGTTGTAGAGCACCAGCCTTGAGTGAAAAAGCTAAGGGACAGCACCCAGGCCCTGAGTGCAAGCCCCAGAACTGGTGTGTGTGTGTGTGTGTGTGTCTGTGTCTGTCTGTCTGTCTGTCTGTATGCATGTGCATGCACACACACATAATCATGAAGTCATAAAAAATTGAATATAAAAACTAAGTGTTAGCTTCAGTTTGAAATGGTTTTGAAGACCTCAGTATTAAAATCCTTACCTACAATTTGCCTTACCATTTCCTGTTAATTGTGGTACTGATTTTTGAAATTTTTTGTTGTTGTTGTTGTGCGGCTTGAACTCAGGGTCTGGGTGCTGTCCCTAAGCTATTTTGCTCAAGGCTAGCACTCTACCACTTTGAGCCATGCACCACTTCCAGTTTTAAGTAGTTACTTGGAGATCAGAGTCTAATGGACTTTTCTGCCCAGGCTGGCAGAAAACTGTGATCCTCAAATTTCAGTCTCCTGAGTAGCTAGGATTAAAGAGCTACTGGCATTGGGCTTTTTGCAAATTAAAAAAAAAACAAAAAACAAACAAAAAAAACCCAATGTCTTTCCTGTCATAAACTGTTAATAGTTAGTGATGAACAATTAAAGGAAAAGAGAAGAATTTAAACCTATTTATCTCCTTGCTAATTCTTGAAGCCAAGATCTAGTTGTTTATCATCCATTGTTCCTGGGATGAAAACAATTAGAGCAATTAAACTTGGAGTACATTCCTATACTTTGGGCTTTGTAAATGACAGATGTGATGTCATTTGGTCTCTGATTATTCTCTGCATATATGAGATGCATGCTACATTTTTCTAGAACATAGAATCTGTGATTAGCCAATTGTATTAGTCACTATTACTACCATTTGTTACATTTTATATTAAAAATCCTATTTTATGGAGAAATTGTTTACTTATATCTAGGTATTTTAGTGTATTTTTATTTTGTTTTCATTATACTAAAAATGCACATTCTAAACAAAAATATTCTACTGAAATTTTCTGTGCTATATTGCACATACTGTGAATGCCACAATGACTAATTGAATCTTTTCCACCTTACCTCTAGTGATTTCCTAAATAAAAACCAGGAATTGTTGCAAGATTTATCAGAGGTGAATGATGAAAATACTCAATTAATGGAAATACTGAATACATTGTTTTTCTTGCCAATCAGACGACTTCATAATTATGCAAAAGTTTTGCTAAAGCTTGCTACTTGCTTTGAAGTGGTAAGTTTCCAGATATATTCTCTTTGGGTATATAGGAAGTTGTCAAGATTCATGATAATTTGGATTAAGCCACCATAAGATCTCCATTTCTACTGACCTTAATATTGTATGTATCTGATTAAATGCCTTTCTCTTCGGGTAAGTGAAAGCCAAAAGTATGACTAGGTAAATATAGTTTCCTTTGCTGTAGATTTAGTTTTCCTTCAGGACTTGATCTACATTGATTGCATTCATTTTATGCAACTGTTTCTAAAGTTGAAACCCTATTAGGAATGCTACTCACTCAGGAGTTGTCAGAGTTTATGAAATGTGTGCTCAGAATGACTCACACAAAGCTCGGCTCTTTAGAAAAACAATTATTTTTTTTTACTAACATGCATTAATTGTACATGGAGAGAGAATTTCATCCTGACATTTCTATACATATATACAATGTATCCTAACCAAATTTATCCTGTAACTCTCCCTTACTCCCCTGCCCTCTTAAAATAATTTCAACAAGTTTTAATGTCCTATTTTCACACATGCAAATAAACTACTTTGACCATATCATTCTCATTCACCCTCTCTATTAGCCTTCCTCATCTTTCTGGTACCTACTCTCCCAGTAGAGGCTATTTTACCATCTTGTCATAGCTATTGTATTTTTAGTTTGTATTAATTGCACCAAGGAGTTAGTTTAGCTTTTCAGACATCCATATATTTTGCTTTAATCAGTATAATCTTTATTGCTTTTTTTCCTCCACCCACCAATTCCAACTGATCAACAGCTTTCATTAGATTTCTTATGTCATCTTCATACATAGTTGTGATGTATTTCAAAATTATTTACCTTCTTTTTTCCTTTCAAGTATGTCTCTCTCTATGTATATTACATACACACACATACATATGTATATCTGTGCACTTATACATGTCCATAAGCATGTATGTCTTTTAGGCCTAGCTTCCACAAATTAGTGAAAACATTTGATATTCAGCCTTTTGACCCTGGTTTATCTTGCTCAACCTGATGCTCTTCAATTTCATCCATTTTCCTGCAAATGATTTCATTTTTCTTTATAACTGTGGAATATACCATAGAATATATGTATTCCATATCTTATTTATTCATTTGTTGTTGGGCACTTCAGCTGATGCCATTATTTGGCTATTGTGAACAGCAATGTAATAAACATGGTTGTACAAGTATTTGGTTTGGGGCATTCACTCCTTCACATATATACTCAATAGTGATATGGCAGAGTCATAAGGAAGGTCTATTTTTAGTTTTTTAAAGAGCCTCAATAGTGGTTGCACAAGATTGCATTCCACGAACAGTGTATGAAGGTTCTTTACTCATTCCTCCTCCTCAATCCGTGCTAGCATTTTTCTTTGCTCTTTTGCTATTTAATTTTTTGAGCTATTTGTATATTCTGAATGTTAGTCCTTTATCTCTTTCATAGCTGGCAAAGATTTTCTCTTATCCTGTGTGGATGATCTCTTGGTTCCGATGATTGTTTCTGCTACTATGCAGAAACTTTTTAATTTGTCTCATTTATCAGCTCTTTTGTTTTCTGGGTAATTGGAGTCCTATTCAGAAAGTAATTACCTGTGCTTATAATTTACAGAGTTTTCTTTATGTTTTCCCATAGTAGATTTAAAATTTCAGCTCTACTTTGGTTATTTGATCTATTTGGGGTTTATTTGGATACAGAGTGAGAGATAGTGGTCCAGTTTCAGTCTCCTGCATTTATAAATGTTGCCTATATATTTGTCCCAGCACCATTTGTTGAAGAGATTGTTTTTCTTTCAGTGGATGTTTTTGACTCCTTTCTTGGTCCTCTATTTTGTTCCTTTGGGTTTGGGATCCATTTTGGTGCTAGTATTAAGCTGTTTGTTACTGTGGCTATATAGTTTAGTTTGATGTCTTGTGATACTACCAACATCAAATTTTTTGGTCAAGATTGCTTTGGCTATTTGGTTCCTTTTATGCTATGTAGAATTTTGGGATTTTTTTTTTTCTATTTTGGGGTTTTAGTGGAGATTACTTTGAACCTGTTGATTGCCTTTGGTAGCATAGCCATTTTCATGATATTCTGCTAACCCCTGAGCATGAGTGGTTTTTCTATTTTCTGATGTCATCTTCACTTTCCTTCTTCAAAGTTTTATAGTTTTCAGCAGCAGTTTTTCACTTATTTGGTTAGGTTTATTCTTAGGAATTTTATTATTTTTGAGGCTAATAGATTATTGTCCTGATTTCTTTCTTAGCCTGTACATCCCTGGTGAACAGGAAAGCTACTGGTTTTTTTGTGTGTCAATTTTGTATCCTGATACCTTTTGCTGAAAGTGCTTAGGGGTACTGGGGTAGAATCTTTAAGGTTCTTTAGGTATGGGGTCATATTATCTGCAAATAGATACAATTTGACTTCTTTCATATTTGAATTCTTTAATATTTGAATTCCTTTAGTCTTACCTTATTTCTCTGCCTAGGAATTCTAATACCATATTGAATAACAGTGGAGAGAGTAGATACCCTTTTTTCTCTTCTGACTTTAAGGAAAATGATTTCAGTTTTTCTCCATTTCATAAAATGTTGCCTATATATTTTCCATATAACCTTTATTAAGATTGGTAGGAAGAGGTCAGGTAGGAAGGTGAGTGAGAATGTTAAAAGGGATGACAGTGATCAAGAGGCACTGTATTCATAAATTGCTTTGCTGAATGACAACTCCAATGTACAACTACTTAAAAATAATTTTAAAAAGATCAAGTATATTCCTTCTAAGCTTCTTCAGTTTTTTTTAAATCATAAAAGGAGATTGGATTTTGTCAAAGGCTTTTTCTCTGTCAGTTAAAATGATCATGAGCCTATTTATATGATACAGTAACATTTATTGATTTACATTTGTTGAGCCATCCTTGCATCGCAGAGATGAAAAAAACTTGATCATGGTATGTTAACTTTTTGATGTGTTGTTCAATTTGGTCTACAAGAGTTTTGTTATCAGTATTTTGAGAATTTTGTTATCAGTATTTATAAAAGATGGTTCTATAATTCTCATATATTTGGGGATCATCTTGGAACTCCTTGCTGCCTTTGTGGCCATTATTATTATTGTACCTGAGTTTGAATTAACTTTTTGCTTGCTATAGGCATGCACTGAGCCATAACTGCTTTTCTTTGTTGTTTTCTGTCTCCTTGCAGTCTCCTCCGTGGTTTCTGATTTTCTTCCTGGTTTTATTCAAATTCTTACAGTTCTTTTTTTTTTAACTTAATTTTATTTAAAGGGTGATGTCAGAGGGATTGGCAGATGCTTCTAGTCCACCATTTTGCCCTGCCTCCCAGCCCTTGTCTTTTTGCCAAATAATAAAAAGTTTTGAAAAATCTAAACCGATGCCTCTTTTCTCATTAAAAATAATTTTTGGAAGGGGGGTGTTTTGAAGTAAGGTCTCATTATGTAGCCTAAACTGGTTTAGAACTCACTGTCCTCCTTTCTCAGCCTCCTGTATGCAGGAGGACATGCTCAGCTATAAAAATTCTTTTGTTTTGGGAAACATAGTTATTTGTTATTTAAAACCTTATTTGAAATTAATAAATGCTTAAAAGTTTTAAAGTTTTATTTACTAATATGGCAATCAGTACTTATATACCATATATACAAAATAAAGGGCCTGCAAACCTTGAGGCACCTCCTACCCTCTCCCAAGTTGTCAGCTGTTCTCACCAATAACTGACAGTGTTTGTTCCTTTCCTTCCTTGAATTATTTCTCTTGTTCCACATTTACATTAGTGGATTTATTCTGAAATGAACTCAGTTCCTTTTCCAGTTCCCTGCAGTTTACCTCTACTGTTCTCAGGGTGAATTTCCTTCCTAAATTAAGTCTTATATAGCTAAATCACACACTGAGGCTGCAGATTCTGGACAATTGTTCTTTTCTTTCCCTTTAATTATTGGCCTCTAGACATCTCCAGAGTATCAGAAACTGCAGGATTCCAGTTCTTGTTACGAGTCTCTTGCTCTCCATCTCGGCAGGAAAAGAAAAGAAGCAGAGTATACATTGGGTTTCTGGAAGACCTTTCCAGGAAAAATGACGGTAAACCATGCCAGCTATCCTTTGTTACTACCCCAGCAAACATCACCGTCACCTACTGTTCCTCACTTGTATATAACAAAACTGTTGTAACAACTCCTTTTTGCAAATGTCTTAATGTCTATAACAATGGGACTTCTAAATAGCAAAACCCTCCTTCATTTCTAGAAATCCTCTCTGAAGACTTGCCTTTAGTTTGTTTCCGTCTTTTGGGTCATCCTGGGATCCAAGTTTATGAAGTGTTTGGGTCCTGTCTAAACTTAGATTTAACACATGTTAGTAAGATATGACCTACAAATTCCCCTAAATGTGATTTGTGTCTGTTTCATTTTCTCTTCCATATTAATTTTTATTGTTTGCTTTATTATTTATTTTTAACTGTAGGATTCCTTGAGGAAGCCAGAGCGCCGGCTGCTGTGTGAGAGCAGTAACCGAGCCCTCTCTCTGCAGCATGCTGGCAGGTTTTCTGTGAATTGGTTCATTCTCTTTAATGATGCCCTCGTCCATGCCCAGGTAGGCTAGTCCCTAACCTGTAAAGAGGCCCTGGAAGGTGGGCTGCTGCATTTACTAACATCACATATTCTGTATCATTATTACTGAACGAAAGTTCATTATGTGACACATGACTGTATAGATTGTGATTCTCTGCAACTTTTTGTTGTTGTTGTTGGCCAGTCCTGGGGCTTGAACACAAGGCTTGGGCACTGTCTCTGAATTTATTTTGCTCAAGGCCAGCACTCTACTACCTGAGCCACTGTGCCACTTCAGCTTTTTTTTGTGTATGTGGTACTGAGGAATCAAACCCAGGGCTTCATGCATTCTCGGCAAGCCCTCTACCACTAAGCCACATTCCCAGCCCTCTCTGCAACTTTTGAATAAAAGAAATATTTAAGAATAGCTTCTGTGGTATGAGCTGGATATCACACAGCTTTTTTTCTTTTTGGTGTCAGAGATCAAACCATGGTGTTCAAGGTACAGCCTAAGCAGACTTGTTTTTTGCTTTTTGGTGGTCTAGGGTTTGAACTCAGGGCTTCATGCTTGGTAGACAGGCATTTTGCTGTTAAAGCCATATCTTCAACCCTTTTAGCTCTAGTTATTTTTGAAATAGGATCTTACTGTTTCCCCAGGCTGGCCAGTACTTTGATCCCCCTATTATACTTTACACCATAGCTGTGATGACAGGTGTATACCACCATACTCAGCTATTGATGGAGATGGGATCTTGAAGACTTTTTGCTCAGGCTGGCTTAGAACCACAATCTTCTCTATCTCTGCATCCTTGGTAGTTAGGATTACAGTGTCAGTTACTGGCACCACATTAGAGAGCTTTTTTTGTTTTCTGATTTGAGCATGAGTATCAGCCATGTGGAGGTCCTCTCTCTAGGACCTTGTGCAACAGAGACTGCAGGACCACATGGGCTAATGATGGGAACAGGAAGAGGTTCCAGGTTGACATAGACTTCACAGACGTGCCTTCATGTTCTCTTTCAGTTCTCCACACACCATGTATTCCCTTTGGCCACACTGTGGGCAGAGCCACTTTCTGAAGAAGCTGGAAGTGTGTAAGTGTGCTCTCTCTTCCTGCCCCATTTCTGTGGTTCTCCATTCTGTACTTAGCTCATTCCCTTAAATGTGAAAAAATACTCAGGAGGGTTGGGAAGCTACCTGCCCATTCTTCAGAAGATTCATTTCCTAGCACATTGGATAGTAAAGTGGCCAAACCTGTGATGATGACAAGTCATGGTAAATGGTAGAGGGGCCTCACTATTCTTCACATTCCCGTTGTTAACAGAGAGCAATTATATCCTTTTCCCACTGTGAGATGCAAATCTAGGGCATAGCATTTAAATTTAATTGACTTCTACTTAGACAACTTTTTGTACAGAGGTATTTTATGACAGGTTATCATACCTATGGTATTTATCCTTGTGAACATTTTAGGAATGGCTTGAAGATAACTACCCCTGAAGAGCAGTTTACTCTCATATCATCAACACCTCAGGAAAAGGTTAGTCCATTATGATACTTTCTTTGAATCTTTGGCCTCTTACAGTAGTAAAGAAGAAATAAAAGTTGTTCTCATTTACAAAAATGACCCACAGTTATGGTAGAGATTTCTTGGGATGTTGAGATGTTGTGAGGTAATAAGGACATTATATCAAAAGACTCTCGACAAGGCAAAGTTTATTTCTGTATAAAAGTGCACCATCAGCCAACATCTGGCAGGCAAGCACACAGAACTGGCAAGCTGGCTGCTCCTCTTTAATCTCCTTAAGCAGCAAGCCCTACCCTTCTGCTTGGTGGCCAAACCAAAATTCTCAATCGGCCACAGGATGTGGCTTAATTAACAGGAACAGGATCAACTAAAATTCAATGATTTTATAACAGGATTTTTGAATTAAAGTGTAACTGGAATAGGATATAATTAAAATATAACCAGCTAGGGCCAAACCACCTGACCAAAGCAGGAACTTTTCAGAAAAACAATTTTTCTTTTCAGAAAAATCTTCATTAAGTGAAACTTTTTAAAAATAAGTTAAAGCCAAGTGCCTGTGGCTCACGCCTGTAATCCTAGCTACTCAGGAGCCTGAGATCTGAGGATCACAGTTCCAAAAGTCCAGGCAGAAAAGTCCCCATGAGACTCTTATCTCTAATTAACCACTCAAAAATCAGAAGTAGTGCTGTGGCTCAACTGGTAGAGCACTATCTTGAGCACAAAGAGGCTCAGGGACAACGCCTAGGCCCTGAGTTGAAGCCCAAAAACTGATGACACCCCCTCCCCCCCAGAAAAAGTGACAATTTAAATCATATAGCAATAAACTGATTTTATCTACTTAATTTTATTGACTTAAATTTAATCATATGACATATGTAGTATTAAGCATGTAATAAGAAAAGCATTAGGATACAAAAATTATTCACTCCAAGTAAAGGTGGCATAAGCCAAAAGCGGTGCTTGACAAATTGTTACTATAAGCCTGCTGACAGTTGTGTTTTGCTCCTAGACTAAGTGGTTACGGGCTCTAAGCCAAGCTGTGGATCAGGCTTTGAGGGGGACTTCTGACCTTCCACCTTATGGAAGTAGCAGCAGTGTTCAGAGGCAGGAACCACCCATTTCACGCAGTGCCAAATATACTTTCTACAAGGATCCCCGCCTAAAGGATGCCACTTACAATGGGCGCTGGCTCTCAGGAAAGCCTCATGGAAGGTGAAAATACTTAAGCTTCTGCCTAGAAGGAGGACAGTAGTCACATTGCAGAAAAAGCATTTATTATCTGAAGCATTCACTGACATGAATATTCTTTGCATATTCCTTCCCAGAGGGGTTTTGAAGTGGCCGGATGGAAAGATGTACACTGGCATGTTCAGGAATGGCTTGGAAGATGGGTAAGAAAGTTGTTTAAAATATGACAAATTCAAGTTTGGTCACAAATGACATTTTTTAATGTTCAGAGATGCAATTCAAATAAGCATTAGATTTTTGTTTTTTTAATTTAAATACGCATTAGGACCCATAATGCAGATGTATGAGCATGAAAAAAGTTAGGATCTGGAGGGTAGCCTTTGATTAACCTTGACTGAGTCATAGCTATGTGACTTCAATTCCATAGGTTCCCATCTGTTAAAGGGGGACTGTGTCTCTAAATTTCTCAGTTATGAAGACTAAACTTTGGATAATGTTGATGAGGAAACTGTTAAAACAATAGGGCCTCTTTTACACAAGAGACAGAGAAATTTTCCTTTTAGTAGTTTCAAATCTGTAGTTATATATGTTAAAAGAGAAACCTGTCGGGGCTGGGAAGGTGGCTCAGTGGTAGAGCACTTGCCTTGCATGCCTGAGGCCCTGCGTTCAATTCCTCAGCACCACGTAAGCAAAAAGAAAAAAGCCGCAAGTGGGGCTAAGGCTCAAGTGGTAGAGTGCTAGCCTTGAGCTGAAGAGCTGAGGGACAGCGCCCAGGCCAGAGTTCAGGCCCCACGAACGGACCCAAAAATAAATAAATAAATAAAGAGAAACCTGTCCAGTATTATATTATGGTAATGATACTAAAATGATATTGTATAAGCTTGCCTGTCATATTTTTGTCACTGTATATACATAATTTTTTGGGGGGGGAGGGGAACTCAGGGTGTGGGCACTGTCCCTGAGCTTTTTGCTCAAAGCTAGTGCTCTACCACTTTGAGCCACAGTGCCACTTCCAGTTTTCTGGTGGTTATTTGTAGTAAGAGTCTCACGGACTTTTCTGCCTAGGCTGTCTTTGAACTGTGATCCTCAGATCTCAGTCTCGTGAATCGCTAGGATTATAAGCTTAAGCCACTGACACTTGACTTAATTGATAAATTTCTGGCAGTGAGATATTTTGTCAGCTACAGAAGTAATTTGATTGTCTACATAAAAATATATATATAAATTGGATGATGAATTTGTTTGATAATGTTTTATGATGTCTTTTACTCTTTAATAGATTTTTAGAATGATAACAGCTTTAGATAATCTGCTTTATACCTATTTTATATAGATGAGAAAGCAGTATACTTGGACTTACCCAAAGTGATGCTGCTAGTGACAGAGACAGGTCAGACATAAGTCCTCTGCTTTTCATTGGCCTTTCTCAGAGACTTGACTCATTCCTCTAAGATTTGCTAAACAGCTTAGGTAATGGATATAGGTTAAACCAAGACCCTTTTTGCCCCATTCCTCCTATTGGTAAATCTTTTCTCTGTTCTTTTTATTGAAATGCTTACTGATGTACACATATAAAAGGTGAAGATGTCATAAGTACATCTTTAGATATTTTTTTCCATTTTCCTTGATAGGTATGGAGAATACAGAATCCCAAACAAGGTTCTGAACAAAGAAGATCATTATGTGGGCCACTGGAAAGAAGGAAAGATGTGTGGCCAAGGTGTCTATAGGTAATAACATTAGAAAGACTGTTGGACTGGTGTTACTTTTTCCGCGAAAATGTAGAGTTTGGGTAGCCATGATTTCTAAGGAGTAAATTCAGTACACTCCTTTAATCACTTTAAAGTCTTCCTTTAAAGTGCTATTCCTATTTCTCACAAGATGACAATAGTAAGTTAGTAAATTTGTTTCCTAAGTTCTATATGTTATATATAACATTCTTATATATCCTGCCTATTAATGTAATTTCATTACTCAACTCTAAGACAGACTGATCATCTTTCTTTCTTCTCATTGATAACTAATTACTTCATTTTCCAGTCAAGTGACTAAACATACAATTTCTTCCTATGTAAATGCAAATATACCTTCATTATGTAGTAACATTTTAAGCTATATTATGCAAAAATGCAACATTGTTATTTGTGAAAAATAACCATATAAACAAATAATTACCATTGAGAATATCACTGTGGATTTTTTAGACTTTGTAATAATGTTCATTTGATGGATCTTTACTGATCCTTTCCACAGTTACGCCTCTGGTGAAGTGTTTGAAGGCTGTTTTCAAGATAACATGCGTCATGGTCATGGTCTCCTCCGAAGTGGAAAATTAACTTCTTCTTCTCCCAGCATGTTCATTGGCCAGTGGGTGATGGATAAGAAATCAGGATATGGTGTCTTTGATGATATCACAAGGTACTGTATTCTGTTTTTGATCTCAAGTATAGTATAAAAGGATAAGGTTCTGTACTTCCCTTAAAATAATGATAATTTTATGAAGTCTGAGGTTTTGTAGCTTAGTCTAACTTTGCTGTATAGCCCAGAGCAGTCTTGAACTTTCCATTCTCCTGCCTCAGTGTCCTGTGTATTAGCACTACAGGCATTTACCACCATGCTAAGACTAAGCATCTTAACTTGGTAACATTAGAAAACATTTTCAGCCAGGAGCTGGTGGCTCACGCCTGTAATCTTAGCTACTCAGGAGGCTGAGATCTGAGGATCATGGTTCAGAGCCCGCTCAGGCAGGAAAGTCCATGAGACTCTTTATCTCCAATTAACCATCAGAAAATTGGAAGTGGCACTATGGCTCAAGTGGTAGAGCGCTAGCCTTGAGCTGAAGAGCTGAGGGACAGTGCCCAGGCCAAGAGTTCAGGCCCCACGACCAGACCCAAAAAATAAAAAATAAAAATAAATAATGTAGGGCTGGGGAGGTGGCTCAGTGGTAGAGTGCTTGCCTTGCATGCATGAGGCCCTGGGTTCTATTCCTCAGCACCACATAAGCAAAAATAAATAAATAAATAATGCATATGGAGATCCATGTCAGGTAGACACTCTGATGAGAACATAGTTTTGAGTAAGGTATCTTCAGCTGTCAGATAGTCTGGTGTGTGAGGGGACAGAATTCAGAATTCACCACTGTAACTAGAAAAGTAGAATAATTGGTATCTACTAACCTAGAAATAATGTCTTGGGGGATGTCCTTTGTAAAATAACTTTTATCCCTTTTCTCATTGCCATCACCAGTATCTGTTTTCATTCTTCTTTTCTGTTTATTCAGGGGAGAAAAATATATGGGAATGTGGCAAGATGATGTATGCCAGGGGAATGGAGTGGTAGTTACCCAGTTTGGATTATATTATGAAGGCAACTTCCACGTTAATAAAATGATGGTGAGTGTGATTTTTATATGCAGCTGCTACTGACTTTTAAAAATCCCTATATCTCTTAATTTTTTTTTTAGGGTGGTATGCCAGTATTGGGACTTGAACTCAGGGTATTATGCTCAGTTGGCTTTTTTGCTCATAGCTGTTACTCTATCACTTAAGCCACACCTCTGCTTTCAGCTTTGTATTGGTTTATCGGCAATAAAAGTCTCTCAGATTTGTTCGCTTGGATCGGCTTCAAACCATGATCCTCAGATCTCAGCCTCCTGAGTAGTTAGGACTATAGGAGCAAGCCACGGGGCCCAGTGTATCCCTAACTTTATAACCATCTTTTAATATTCTGCCTTCTTAGTACAATTTTCTTTGTCTTTTATATTATGGAAGACTTTGACGATTTGACCACAGGAACACTTTAATTTACTCTGCATTTTATTGTATTGTGATTTTTATATTGTTTTTTTATTTTTTCTCCCACAGGGAAATGGGGTTTTACTTTCTGAAGATGACACTATCTATGAGGGAGAATTTTCTGATGACTGGACTCTAAGTGGAAAGGTTGGAAATGTACTACTTTTTCTTTCTCTACTACATTCTTCTCCTAATTTTTCTTGAGTTTAAGAATTTATGTACCATAAGAGTCACTAATTTTAAATGTACATTTCAATGACTTTTTAAATATATGAAGTTGCATGACCCTTAGTTTAGATATATACATCACTTGAAAAATATGCTCCTGCTCTTTCAGTTACTTCTATTTCTGCCTTCAGTTCCAGATCTTATCTGTAAGACTTGCCTTTTTTAAACCTTTCTTATAAAGGGAATCATACATATGGCTTATTCTGTATAGTAAAAACAATATTACCATATTATTTTTGAAGTTTTCCTGTATAGTACTTGATTTTCTTTTCTCCCCTGTATAGTATTTCCAAACCACATTTTATTTATCCCTTCACTAGTTGATGGAAACTGAATTATTTCTTCTTTGTTCTTGTTGAGGATTGATCTCAACTTTGTTCTTGTTATGAAAGCATTCTGCCACTTGTACCATGCCTCTAATTCTTTTGCTTTGATAGTTTGTTTTTCATATAGTGTCTTGTACTATCTTTGCCCAAGCTGACCTTGGACTTCCAATCCTTTTATCTCTGCCTCCCTTATAGCTGGAACCATAAACTTGCTTCACCACACCTGGCTTGTTTTTGCAGTGTGGTTTCACTCACTCACAAGGCCCCAGACTGACCTTGAACTGTGATTTCCGTATCTCTGCCTCCCAAGTAACTGGGTTTAGAGGAGTGCACCACCATGCCTGGCCTACCACTGTCTTATTTTTAACTCAAGACTATTGTGAACAATGCCAATCTGAACAATACCAATATGAACATTTGACCTACAACATTATGTTTTAATACATGTTTTTGTTTCTTTTTAGTAGTTAACTAGAAATATAATTGTTGGGTTATGTCATAAATGTTGGATGACCTATTAAGAAACTTCCCAAATGATTTCCAAAGTGGTTGCTCTATTTTGCATTCTCATCAACAAAATGTGAGGACTTTAATATTTTCATTTTGCATGTGGATACCCATATGCAAAAAGAGTAAATTCTTAACTCACAAAAGTTACCTGCATTTTTCCTATTTTCTGTTTTCCTCTTACAGTTAGTTATTCTATTCCAGTGAGTATAAAGCAATATTACTATATTTAATTTGCCATTTACCAAATGATTAGTGATACAGACATGTTTTGTTTACTTAACGTATCTGTTTTACTGAAATGTCTATTCAAATCTTATTGTTGAATTGTATATGTCTTTTATCAGATATGTGATTTATACATGTTTTTCTATAGCCTGTGACTTGTTTTGTTTTGCTTTCTTCTTCTTCTTCTTCTTTTTTTTTGTTTTTGATGGTTGTGGGGTTTGAACTTTGGGCCTGGGTGCTATCCTTGAGCTCTTTAGCTCAAGGCTAGGGCTCTACCACTTGAACCACAGTGCCACTTGCAGTTTCCTGGTGGTTTCTTGGAGATAAGAGTCTCCCAGAATTTCCTGCTTTGAACTGTGATCCTCAGATCTCAGCCTCTGAGTAGCTAGGATTATAGGCATGAACCACCAGCACCCAGCTTGTTTTCTGAATGGTGTCTTTTTAAAGCATAAAAGTTGTTAACTTTTTATGAGGTCTAATTTATCATAAGAATTTTTATAACTCAGACTTTGGTGTCCTATTTAAAAAATATTTCCAAGAAATTTCTGGGATTATTTTTCTTTGTTTTTGAAGACAGAGTCTTACTATATAGACTTAGACTGTTCTGGAATTCACAGAATAGTTCAAACTGGCCTTGAACTCATGAGCCTCTGCATCAGCTTTTTGTGTATTAAGATTATAGGTATGCACCCATTGCTGGGAGTTTTTTTTTAGTTTTATACTGGACTGAGGATGTAGCTTAGTGGGTGAATGTTTGCCTACCATGTGCAAGGCTGTAGGTTTGATTCTCACTACTGTAAAAAATAAAGGTTTATAGTTTTTATATCTTGTATCAATAGATTAAAGATTTCCTGTAAGTGAAATTTTATGAATAGTGTAGATGTCTTTTTATATGTAAAAACTACTTGCCCTACTACCTTTTCTCACTGAATCTTTTTGACATATTTGTTGGAATTAATTGGCCATAAAATATGCTCATTTCTGGATCCTCAGTTATGTTCCTTTGTGCAGTATGTCTCTCCTTATGTTAACACTTCCTTATCTTAGCCAAGCATGGTTTCACATTCCGGTAATCCTGACACTCAGAAAGCTTATACAAGAGGGTCATGATTTTGAGGCCTGCTAGATACTATCTCAAACAAAAAATAAAGTTAAAAGATGATTTTGAGTTACATTATGAAATGAAGTATGTCTTCCAGCCTTGTTCTTCTTAAAAATTGTTTCAGCATCCCAGATTATTTACCCTCATCTCCTGTATACTAGGTAAGCCCTCTACCATGTAAGCCACATTCCAAAATTAGGTTCTTGCTCACGCTGCCTTGGCTGGCCTAGCATTCATAGTACTCCTGCCTCTACCTCCTGAGTATTTGGTACAGGTGTGTACCAAATAAACTTTAGGATTAGCCTGCTGAGATTTTGATAGCAAATACATTGAACATATAGGTAATTTGGGGAGAATTGACATCTTAATATTATTGACTCTTTTAATCCATCTTACTAATAAAATTGAATCTTCTAATCCATTAACATAGAATATCTCACATTCGTGTTTATCTTTAATTTCTGTCAGCAGTGTAATATAGTTTCAGTGTACATGTCTTGCATTTTTTGATTAAATTTATTCCTAGATATAGTGCTATTATAATGACAGTTATTTTTTAAATTTTTTTTAGGTTGTTCATTACTAGAATATAAAAACAAAATTGATTTTTTTTTTCTTTTTTGGTAGTATTAGGCATTGAACTCAACTTCATGCTTGTTCAACTTTGCCTGTTTGGCTAGCACACTACTACTTGCTTGTTCATTTGTTCGATACTCTATCACTTGAGCCATGCCGCCAGCATGGCTTTTTGTTGGTTATTTTGAAAGTAGGATCTCTTGGACTTTTCTACCCAGGCTGGCTTTGAACTGCAACCCTCAAAGAGCAGAGATTGGTAAAGAGCAAATTAAAAAATATGTTAAAATTTAATGCTTCTTTTCCTCATAATTTTTAAAACTGAAAATACTTCCTCTAATTCTACTTTTTTCCCCTCTCACTTCACCTAGGGAACACTGACTATGCCAAATGGAGATTACATTGAAGGCTATTTTAATGGAGAATGGGGATCTGGGATAAAAATTACTGGAACTTACTTCAAACCTAGTCTGTATGAGACTGATAAAGACAGACCCAAAGTTTTGTGAGTAATTCTTCTGACTTAACTATTGAATTTTTAGGTAGTCTTGTTTTCATCAAACAGATTAATATTTTAAAAGCAGAATCAAGTTTTTAAAAACAAAAAATCTATATAATTTCCCTGAGTTGTTAACTGACACAACTGTAGATACTTAAATCTATAGTCTTGGTTTAAATTATAAATAAGCCTTATCAGGTAAATGTTTAAAAGTTATAGGTGTTATGCTGAGAGTATGATGAGAGTATGACTTAAGTGGGAGGCTTTGAGTTCAAATATCAGTAGTACAAAAAAGAATGTTACAAGTGTGAGAGCAGTCCTGTTAATACTACAGTTGTCCAAACTGATGCAAGAGAGGTACTGGGAATTGAACTCAGAGCATATAACTTGTAGGCAAGTGCTCTACCACTTGAGTCATGCCTCTAGTCCTGAAAGGGTGTTCTTAAATGGAATTCCTATACCACTTGAATTTCAATTTAAAAGAAAGACACACACACACACACATACACACACACACACACACACACACACACATCCCCCAAATAGAATAGTAAAATCTTCATATACGAAGAAAAAGAACAAAGTCTACATTACTAATAAAAAAAGGAAAGAAAACTCATCAACCTAACCTAAGCCATTGCCGGTGTGGTAAAGCTAATCCTAGATTCTGACAGTTGACAGAGGATTCAACACCCCAACCCCACAAAGTCCAAAATGCAGAGTTTTTTCCTTTTTCAACTTAATCCTTAGACTCATAGTCTGGATTCCTGTTTCTCCCAATTCCATGTCTGAGGCCCCAGCATTCCAGCCCACCAATCCACCATGGGACTAAGGGGTAAGATTAGGCAGAAGTCCCATGGTCTGAAATCACTCACCCAGCATAAGAGCTGCACCTCTGGGTAGGCCTCTTCTGGGCCCACTACTTGGCATTCTTATGTCCCTTTCTAATCACCCCCTACTGCCTGAAGCTCAGACTGCCAAGTGAGTGAATGTACTTCACTTGGTTGCTGCCATATTGACAAGGGCTAGTATCTTTTTGCTTGCAATGTTAGCTTTTTCTTCTTGTTATTGCATCTCATCTATGTTCCAGTGGAGGCTTTATGTATTTTCTGTACCAAATTTTTTTTCTAAGAGTATTTTTAAAATTCCATGTGTAATGAATACATTTCGCAATTCTCATCATGCAATGTGCAAAGTACAAAAAGTCTTCATTTTAATAGGAATTGTGTTTCTAAAATTAATTCTGTGGAGATGTAGAAAGCAGGTATCAGTTGCAGTATCTAAAAAACAATAATTGGATAAAAACTATCTCTTCCAATTTTTCATTCAGAATTTTAAAATAGAGCTGCCACCAATTTAGACAGTATGGGTCAGAATTATTCTCAGTTGTATATTAGAAAGCTTCTATAATTTGAAATGAGTTTACAAAAAAGAAGTGATTAATGGAAGGTTGATTTGGCTTTATTAGCAGGAAGCTAGGGAACTTGGCAGTGCCACCAGATGAGAAGTGGAGAGCAGTGTTTGATGAGTGTTGGCATCAGCTGGGCTGTGAGAGCCCAGGCCAAGGGGAAGTTTGGAAAGCATGGGATAATATTGCTGTGGCTTTGACCATCAATCGGCGCCAGCACAAAGACAGGTGAGTGAATACCTGCCCAGCATGTGGTAGAACTGCTCAGCAGATGAAACTGAAAGCTAGTAAGTAGCCAAGGTTCACTACATTTAAACTCCACAAATATAATTTAAAAGTTAATGACGTACTTCTCATGAGTAAACTGGGTTAAAGCACTCATCCTTTATCTTCTCTTGAACTCCATTATGAAACCAGGACAGAATATATGGACAGCTATTTGAGAGCTTGGTAAAGCAGATATCAACAGATAATTGAGGAAGAACACCTAAATTCATAGTATCACCAAATCAATGAGTTTAATGAGTTTTTGCTTCAGTATTCTTCAGCCTGAACTCAGGCAGTCTGAAAATAAGCACTGTGGTGCAGATAGCTGGAGATCCAGAGAAAAACCCTCTAGCAGCCGGGCGCCGGTGGCTCACACCTATAATCCTAGCTACTCAGGAGGCTGAGATCTAAGGATCGCACAGCCAGGGCAGGAAAGTCTGTGAGACTCTTATCTCCAATAAAACCACTAGAAAACTGGAAGTGGTGCTGTGGCTCAAGTGGTAAAGCGCTTGCCTTGAGCTGAAGAGCACAGGGACAGCGCCCAAGCCCAGAGTTCATGCCCCAAGACCGACAAAAAACAAAAACAAAAATAAACAAATAAAAAAAGAAACCTGTAGCTCTAACTCTAGGAGAGAGACAAGGACTTCTAAAACACTGAATGGAGGCTACTTAACTGGTCTTCATTTTTGTTCTCCGGATTCCCATGCCCTAGCCACTAAGTAAGGTACCTGTGTAGCTAAATGGTAATGGCAGTGAATAAAGCAACTATGAGCAAGAAGTTTGCAGGAGCCACAACTTCAAAGAAGTAGAACCTTTTTCCCTGTGTTGGTTATTCTCAAGTTCAAGAGGCAAGATCAAACCCTATTTACTTTGGTGCTTCTCTGTTTATCATCCCACCATTGGGCCCTACGTCTGGCCTGTTCACAGAAATGGGCAGTTTCTGGCTGTAGTACCTAAGAGAAAAATTCTGAGAACCTAAACGTACAAGGGAAGTAATGGAGAGACAAGAAGAACAACCTCAGGAAGTTGTCTGTGATCTCCCATGTCTCCTGTTGTATTATTATGAGCTCCTTGCTTCTTGAGCCTATTTTCATTTCTTCCTTTGCTCTTTGACTTAGTTTTCTTTTCCTTTAGCTTTTCTTACTCATTTTCCTTCTTATTATAACAGGTCTTAAAGCTAATGTCATTAATTTCTCAACAGCATGGTTTACTTTGGAGCACAATTTTCATTAACTCATTATAGTATGTATAATGTTAAATGTTGCTTTGGATAATATGTAAACAGAGTGCCTCATGGCAATTCATCCACCCTTTATGAACTCACTTGGGCCTGTGCTGGATGTTCCATTTTATCCTGAGTTGGTGATATGTTTCCTGTGTACATTTGCAATTATCTTGCTTTCTTGATGTGAAATATACAATGGGCTTTCCTTTTTCCTTTTTGTAGTCCAGAAATATTAAGTCGTTCACAGACTCAGACACTAGAGAGTTTGGAATTCATTCCCCAACATGTTGGTGCCTTCTCTGTGGAGAAATATGAAGACATTAAGAAATATTTAATAAAGGTAGAGTCAAAATTATATTGGCTTTGTTAATTGATGTTGTTATTACAATAGATCATTCAAATGTTAACTTGATCCTGGTTTTACTTTCTTAGTATTTATTTTGCTACCTTTACTAGTAAGGTCATATTTCTTCATGATTATAAACTCTTTAATAAGATAAAGACTTTTTAAGTTTTGTATGATGCTCAAGGAGGTTCCTAAGGATTAAATTCAAAGTTTAAAATAGGTGTTTAAAAAATCTTTAGCTGGGTGCTGATGGCTCACACCTGTAATCCTAGCTACTCAGGAGGCTGAGATCTGAGGATTATGGTTCAAAGCCAGTCCGGGCAGGAAACTCTGTGACACTCTTATCTCTAATAAACCACCAGAAAACCAGAAGTGGCTCAGTAGCTCAAGTGGTAGAGCACTAGCCTTGAGCTGAAGCTGAGGGACAGCGGTCAGGCCCAGAGTTCAAGCCCCATGGCTGACAAAAAAAAAAAAAATCTTTTAAGGTAAAATTAGCAAAGTAGAGGTTTTATGAGCAAAGCATGCTAAAATGCTGCCTTTGCTTCTTTCTCACCCCTCTTAGATCAGCAGAATTTAAATTATGACATGCATTATTTTCTGTTATATTCAGGTTTCTGAATATGAATGTTAAACAAGTTTGTTTTGGGGGTGAGTACAGTTCTGGAGGTAGAGGTGATTGGAAAGGGTATTAGAGGTGAATATGAGTGAAGTGCTTTATAGACACAGAATAATGAACAGAGAACAGAATAATGAAACCTGTTGAATGTTTTAAGAAGGAGAGGAGGAGAATGATAGATGGTGAATTTTGATTTGGTACATTGTGTACATAGATGAAAGTACCACAATGAAACCCTTTTGAACTAATAAAAGCTAATAATTATGGGAAAAGTATCAACAGTCAGCATTTATATTTCTCTGAGGTAATGGTTTACATACTTTTTGTGAAGGTTTTTGTTTTGTTTTATTTTGTTTTAAGCAAGGTGTTACTGTGAAGCCAGGCTGGCCTGGATACTTACTTGCCTGCACTACCTCATGTACAACCATGCCTGGCTCATTTTTGTGAACTTTAAAATTCACTGGAATAGCTGGGCACTGGAGGCTCATGCCTGTCATCCTAGCTACTCAAGAGGCTGAGATCTGAGGATCATGGTTCAAAACCAGCCCAGGCAAGAAAAGTTCATGAGATTCTTATTTCCAATCAACCCCCAGAAAACTGGAAGTAGTACTGTGGTTCAAAATGTTAAGAGTGCTAGCCTTGAGCAATAAAGCTCAGGGACAGTGCTTAGGCCCTGAGTTCAAGGCCCATGACCACCACCAACAAAAAAAATACATTAGAATGTTTATCTCAACATTCATATATATATATATATATATACACACACACACATATATGTATATATATACATATATACATATATATACATATATACATAAAATATATATACATATATGTCAAGATTAAACATATGTGAACATTTTCAAGAATATTTTCCCAAGTCAAAAAAGAAGTCAGATTAAGATTAGTAGTCTCAGTAACCACTGTTTTGTCTTCCAGTTCTATAAGTTCAACTTTTTTAAGTTTCACATATGAGGGAGATCATGTGTATCTGTCTTACTGTACCTGCCCTTCTATACCACTGATATTGCTGCAAATGACAGGATTTAGTCTTTTTTTTAAATAGCCAAATAGTTTTTCATTGTAGAAAAATAAGTGGTAGTATTCTATTAAACAAAAGGTGATTGTGAGTAGCTTAGCAGTATGGCATCATTTAATTCAAAATATCTATATGAAAGAATTTGAATATTCTCATCACAAAGATATGATAACTATTTGAGATGATGGATAACCTAAGTATTCTGAGTTGATCAAACACAATATATAAGTATATCAAAACACTATATTGTTCCCTATAAAAATGTGCAAGTATTTATTACCTGTCAATTAGAAAAAAAATCATTAGGAACTAAAGCAATGTGTAATTTAAGGAGATTCAATGTTTGGAATTAACTGCTGACAATTTTTTTAAATTTTATTTTATTGTAATGGTGATGTACAGAGGGGTCACAGTTCAATAAGTAAGGTAACTACTGACATTTTTTTAATGATCATTTTATGAGATTGTGTATCATTGATGGCTTGTTTCTGCTCTTAATTATTTTGACTGATTTACTTGATTCTCTTTCTGCTCAGGCCTGTGACACTCCACTGCATCCACTGGGCAGACTTGTGGAGACACTAGTCGCAGTATATAGAATGACATACGTAGGTGTGGGAGCCAACCGTCGACTACTGCAGGAGGCAGTAAAGGAGATTAAGTCATACCTTAAGCGACTTTTCCAGCTAGTGAGGTAAGAGATTTGTTTCACTGAAATCTGAAAGCTGTAAAACTGTAGTTTACATTAATCCTTTGGTATTATCACCCTAAATCTACCCTTTATCACAGAAATTATTCAAGAAAATGGTTTAATGCCATAGGTTCTTAAAGAGATTAATTGGCAAAAGTATTCTCAATTTATGTTTGTGTTAGGAATGCAAAAAAAATAAATCTTAGCCAGAGCTATTTACTTCCTTTAAACTGAAGTTCAATATGTTTGTTATTTTGATTCTAATTTGGTGTGAAAGATACTTTTTATTTGGATATAATTTTTTTAGGCAAAATCATATTCCTAATCCCTAGTCACAGAGTAGATAAAGCTCTGTTCTGTGAATTTACTCTGTCCTTCACAACAGCATGATATACATTTATTTATTCAACAAATACCCTTGGAATGTTCTATCTCTTAGCATCAGTGAACAAAAAAACAAAATCAGTGTTCTAGTGGCACTTACATTCTAATGGGAAGAAAGAGTAAGATATAAAACATACATTATGTCAGTATGATTGTACTTTAGAGAAAAATAGGAAGGAATGAGTATGGCTCTACTATTTTATATGTCTAGGAAGATGACTATTAGGGTGATATGAAAACAGTAGCTGAACAAGCCATGAAGAATCTTGGAGATGGTAGTTCTAGGCAGCTTGTTAGATGCAAGATTTCTTAATGTTTTTAAATACTACATTGAATTAAATATATAAACATTCATGAATTTGACAGAAGCTTCATTATACTGTTATCCTCAAAATTGATGAGTGTATTGCAAATATTCCAGGTTTTAAAGAGCAGTATGTCCTCCAAAAATAACACTGCATATAGAGTGTTGCAGCTCCAACAGTTAGCTAGATGTGTATGATGAAGATAAATTTCTTGATCTTTTTTTTAGCTTTTCCAACTATAAAATTAAAACAGAGGAAGGAGCAAGAAATAGATAAAAATACAAACTACCTTTGAAAGGTCAAGGTTTAAGTGTATAAAAATATGGTAGTCTCCCAGCCTACCAGAGTCAGAGATAAAATCTAGGGTAAAACCCAAGGCTATAAAACAAAAACAAATAAAAAATCCTTCAATAATTTAGTCCCTTGATCCCTAGAAAAAATAACTTTCAGCAAATCAGCTTTAACTTTTAAATTTATGTTGAGATTTCTATAATTAATGATTCTTAATATTGAACACAGTTTCAACTGATATTTGCTTACCTAAGAATAATGGTTTCTGCTTAGAGTTAGTATAAATTGGCTTCAGATAAGATACATATTTTTAGGTAGATTAGAATTCTTCATTTCTTAGTAACTAGGCAGGAAAAAAAAACCCACAGCACATCAGATTAGAATTCTGAACCACTAAAATACTTGTTAAGTTTGCTTTCATAGGCCCTGAGATAGATTAACAACTAGAGATATATTTTTACTTATTTCAGCTCCTCTGGAAATGTAATTGTATAGCTGTACTTATGTCTTAGGTTCTTATTTCCTGAACTTCCTGAAGAAGGAAGTACAATTCCTCTCTCTGCTCCTTTGCCAACTGAAAGGAAATCATTTTGCACTGGGAAGTCAGATTCCAGATCTGAATCTCCAGAGCCAGGGTAAGTAGAATTAAGTAAAATGGTGTAGAAATGGGTTAGAGGCTAGATAATCTATCCAAAAAGGCCCACTTTTGGGGCTGGGAAGGTGGCTCAGTGGTAGAGCGCTTGCCTTGCAAAAAGGCCCACTTTTAAGTTGCTTTCTCTAGACCTGTTCCCTCATTTCTACAATGATATAGACAGATTAGATGTCCTCTAGGTTCTCTGAGGTGTCTAGTTTTCTCTCAACAAAGAGCAACCCCAATCAGGAACAATCAGCAACAAATGTTGCTTAGCAACTTCATGCCAACATAGAAAGAGCCTCAGAGAAAAAGCAGCCTTAGGGTGGAAACAAAAGCCAGTGGCATAGATCTATAACCCTACTTTCATAAGGGGCTGAGACCTGGAGGATAGAGGTTCTAAGCTAGTCAAAGCAGAATAGTCTGCGAGCCTCCACCTCTAGTTAACCAGCAAAAAAGCCAGGTCAGAGGCTTGGCTCAAGTGGTTGAGCTCCAGCTACTGTGAACAAAGAAAACCAAGTTAACCAAGCACTAGTACCTGCAAAGAGAAAAGGAAACTAAGATTTTGGGTTTGATTTCCAGTTATTGAATAGAATTTGTAGTTGGTCCAAGACAAAGCAATAGATAAGTTGCTCCTGTTAATTCTATATTTAAACAGTACAATCACAGGCCAGACTGTAACAGAGCACACCCTGCAGCCATAGCTACTTGGGAAATAGAGATCAGATGAATCACAATTTGAGGCAAGCCTATGCAAACCTGAAAGCCCATCCAGGGCAAAAATATGAAACCTTATTTGAAAGTCAACTAAAAGAAGGGCTGGGGGCATGGCCCCAGTGATACAATGAGCAAGCAAGAAGCCAAATTCAAACCCAAGTACTGCCCCAAAAGAGTAGAGTAACATAACTTCTTTAACATGTCATGTTTGCACTTTTAAATTTTAGGAAAAGAAGCTCTATTTTTTATTTTATATTTGGTTATAATAAGAATACTTCTATCTTCCCACTCTAATATTTGTAGTTACGTCGTAACAAGTTCTGGATTACTGCTTCCTGTGCTACTACCTCGGCTCTACCCACCATTGTTCATGCTCTATGCCTTGGATAATGATCGTGAGGAAGACATTTACTGGGAATGTGTTCTGCGTTTAAATAAGCAGACAGATACTGCTCTCTTGGGCTTTCTTGGAGTTCAGAAGTAAGTATAGCAGTTAAGAGTGCTACTAAAAGCTTTTAATTTAAAATCTATCAGAGGCCAGACACAGGTGGCCATATCTGTAATCCTAGCTACTCATGAGACTGAGATCAGAGGGTCGTGGTTCAAAGCCAACCCGGGCAGAAAAGTCCCTGTGAGACTCTTTATCTCCAGTTAACCACCTCAACAAACCAGAAATGGCCCTGAGGCATATGTGATAGAGCACTAGCTTTGAACACAAAGAGGCTCAAAGACAGCATCCAGGCTCTGAGTTCAAGCCTCACAACCCCCCACCCCTCAAAAAAAAGTTAAATGACTTGTTTTGCTTGGTATTTTGTAATCATTTAAATAAAAATACGTATATAAACCTTCCTTATAAAAATTAATTGTATTCAAATTTGCTACTGTGCTTCTTTCTCTTCCTTCCCTCTCCATTAACAATTGATTTCAAAGTCTTAGAGGTGCTCCTTCTGTCCTAAGGTATTATTTCTTGCTCCGGGGAAATACTATGAAAGACTGCAGTGAAAAAGCTGATCCCCTATAATTATGTGTTTGTGCTTTCAAAAGTGAATAAAGAACTGGGAATGTGGCTCAGTGGTAGAGTGCTTGCAGGAAGCCCTAGGTTTGATTCCTCAGTACCACATAAACAGAAAAAGCCAGAAATGGCACAAGTGTTGAGTGCTAGCCTTGAACAGAAAGAAGCTCAGGGACAGTACCCAGGCCCTGAGTACAAGCCTGGGACTGGCAAAAAGAAAAGTGAATAAGCTTTAGTTGAAAAGTAATTTTTTTCAGTAGAGTAATTTAATAGTAAAAATGAGATAAAACTGAATGAAAGAATTTAGCCAGTATCACTAGTAATTAGTCACAAATCTCTCTGAGATATTATAGATACTTCTAGTCATGATCAGAACAGAGAAGCCAATTTAGCTATCAGCTTTTTAATGGGCATATATCTACAATAGTAACATCTTATATTAACCACTTATGGATTTTATTATAGGAAATTTTGGCCAGTGACCTTGTCAATCCTTGGAGAGAGTAAAAAGGTATAGTAGATTTAGTTTTCTTACGTATGCTCTTTTCCTTTGTTATGAAGTTTCAAGATAGAAAAAAAATTCTTACATGAACATTTTGTCTGCATCCCTTGCCCTTGGGTCCCCAGTGAAGAGTCTGAAATAAAGGTATATGAAGCATCTACATGACAACAGTCAGGGCACACTGAGTTTTAAACCAAGAGTAGGGATTTAACATTGAAGCTGGGTATGGTGGAATGAACCTGTCTTCCTGTCTTCAGACATAGGAGTGGAAGATGAGTTTTAAGTCCAGACAGGACTACATGACAGAATCCAGTTTAAGATCTGCAGGTGGACACTTCATTTGGAAACATTAGAGGATGTTCTGTAGGTCAGCAGCAAGATTGAAACTTACATATTATAAGGTGCTCTGGGATAGAAAATTACAAACATGTCATGGATTTTTACCTTAAGTTCTATGAACTACTTGGAAAAACAATTCATTTTACTTTGGTAGGATAGTATTCAGACTTGTGTTAGTATCAGTTACCCACCAGGGAGCTGCACTCACCAACTGTTATTTCTTTTTATTGTTGTAATCTCCCCTCTTTGATCTTTATTAATTCCTTTTTTTTTTTTTTTCTGTAGGTTTTACCAACTACGAAAGATGCTTGTTTTGCTTCAGCAGTAGAATGCCTGCAGCAGATCAGGTGATATCTGAGTTGTTGAAAAATTACAAATAACAGTAGTGTTTAGTCCATTCCGATGTTGATAAGCTCTTTTCTTTTTTTCCCTCAGTGCCCCCTCTCCACTCCCAAACTTTGCTATACTCAATCTGGAGATCAGAAAGTCTCTTCTTTTACTCTGAAATACTCTGCATTTTCAAAAGTAGTGGACAGCCTACTCCAGGAATTTATCTGTATTCTCACATCTTTAGCCAAATAGAAATTCCGTGAACTTAATTCCCACTTGGTTAAAGAAAAGAACATATAATAAAAAAAAAAGATTTCATATAGGTAGAAAGAAATAACATTTAATTTACAAACTCTTTGTATGAACTCTTGTTACTTGGAGGCCTTTTCCCTTGAGATCATCCCTTTCCATGATTCAGTAGGCTTCATGTCCAATTTGAGACATGTGAAATTCAGAAGAAATATTGTCAAAAATTTAATAAGACCAGTTCCAAGCTTTATTAAGAAATTAATGGACTTTTTTGTGTGATTTTATTTTTCACAACAGCACAACCTTTACCCCATCAGACAAACTTAAGGTCATCCAGCAGACTTTTGAAGAGATCTCTCAGAATGTCCTGGCATCACTCCAGGAAGACTTCTTATGGTCCATGGATGACCTTTTCCCCGTTTTCTTATATGTGGTGCTACGGGCCAGGTATCTAATGTTTTCTGACTTCCCTAATACTGAGCTTTATTATAATGAGTCTGCTGTTGAGTTTTTCTGAAATGATGACAGGATTGTGTTCTCCTTATAGAGAATAAAAATTTACTTCTGTTAACACACTCTACTATGGTATTACCACCTTATTTCACTTTTTCTTCCTGTCAATTGGTTCAAAAAGAGGAAGGCCTTGTAAATGGAAATGACTTAGCATCTTTTTCTCTTTCGGGCAGGATTAGGAATTTAGGCTCTGAGGTGCACCTCATTGAGGACTTGATGGACCCCTATCTTCAGCATGGGGAACAAGGTATAATGTTCACCACCTTGAAGGTGAGTGTCAGTATTATTTAAAAATAATGCTTATCTTGTAAGCTATACTTCATTTACTATATTGTAAGGCTTCCATTAATCACTTTCTTTTTCTTCTTCTTCTTTTTGTGCCACTCTTGGGCTTGAAATCTGGGCCTGGGTGCTGTCCCTGAACCTTTTTGCTTAAGGATAACACTCTACCACTTGAGCCACAGCTCTACTTCCAATTTTTTGGTAGTTTAGTGGAGATAAGAATTTCACTGATTTTCTTGCTTGGTCTGACTTCAAACTGCAATCCTCAACTCTCAGCCTTCTGAGTAGCTACAATTACAAGTGTGAGCCACTGGCACTCAGCCATTTTCTTTTATATAGGAAAATTGAATGAAAATGCAAGTTTTTGATATTTAAAAGTATGACAATATATTAAATTGGGTAAGCCAGTTATTCTTTAAAATCTGAAAGCAAATTATTCACTTACTTAATGTCTCTGTAAATTGATCATTCAAAATGTTGTAAATACTTACTTTTATAACTGTAGAAAGGAAACAGAAAGGTATTGTAGTCATGGCTCAGTAGGTAAAGTGCTGAGCAGTGAATGAAAGCATCAGGTACTGAATTGGAGTTTGAGTCTCTGACCTAAAAAAAGAAACAGAATTCTTACAGATACAGAAAGTATCCAACAGCAAAGGAGGAGGCAACAATACTCAATAGGAAATGTACTCATTACCTTGCTCATGTAACTGTAACCCCTCTGTACAGCATTTTTACAATAAAAACGTACAAAAAAAAGTATCCAACAGAACTTTTTAGTGGAACTAAAATAGGAAACAGGACAGTGTACAAATAATGAATTTGAATAGGATCTCACTATGTATCTTAGTCTGACTCCCAGTCTTTCTGTCTTTACCTCCAGAGTACTGAGATTATAGCATGCACCACGATACCCAACTGATTTGGTCTATTTTTGTTCCCTTGTATCTACTGTATCCAGTATGTTACAATAAGGTTCTCTGATCTGGATGTACTCTAGGGATTGTTGAAGTATTTTAATTTCCCACATTGATTTTTTTTCTTGGAACTTAATAGAATCATTCTAAGGTTATTGGAAGAACAGCAAATAGAAAGTAGCAAAAACCACCTTAAAAAAGAGGGAGAGCAGACCACTCTGCAGTTAGCAAAACATTATAAATTAAAATAATTAAGATGAAATAATATGTTACTGTCAATTGAATAGACAATACCTAAATAGAAAGGATAATCCTTATATAGGAACAGTCCTGTTCTAAGAACTTCACATGAAAATTTTAAAAAATGGAAACCCAAAATGGAAAATAAAAAACATTGAATAAATGGTAAAGTAAGTATTAGATAGTTTATTAGCAGTTTTGGAAGAAAGGTTGAATAGTAAATTTTATTTAGAGTTTATGGAAAAAAGAAAAGATGGGTAAAATGATGAAAAATTTAAGTGAATGTTAAATTTTGACTTGTGTTGACTTTTCAAACTTTTAAACCAAACAACATTAACATTTTTATTAAACTGAAAAAGAGGAAACCAGGGGAAATATTGGCCACAAATTACTTACATTATTATTTATGAAGAATATCTCTAAACAGAACAAAAAGAAAGAAACTGAATCAGTGTATTTTCCAATAAAAAATGCTCAAACTGACTCAAAATAGTATTGAAGATTTAAATAATACCACTTTGTGTCTTCTCAGTTTAGCAAAAATGTTTCTAAATTATACCCCATTCTGGCAGATTTAGAGTAAAGTCATCATTCACAAATTATGATAATGGGGTAATAGCTATTTGTCACTTTGCTATTGCAATATAATAATTCCTATAAATTGGGCTGGGATGTAGCTCAGTGGCAAAGCGCTTGCCTAGCAAGTGCAACGTCCTGGGTTCGATTCCCAGTACCAAAAAGGAAATGACGAAAAAAATACAGTTAAAAAAAAACCCAAACAAAAATAATTCCTATAAATTATTACTAATGTTTGTATCTACAACAGTAAACATGTTAATGAGGTTTGATCAGTAATCCTATTCCTGAGAATTTATCCTAAGGAATTAAAGAAGTGGGAAACATTGTTCATCTGGATGTGGTATTCCTTGTAATTCTCAAACCTGAATTTTTAGAAACACTTCAATGCTTCTTAAGGTAAAAATTCTGATGCTCTAGGGTGCAGTGATGTTTAATTTCTAGGCTTTTTGAACATGTCAAATGATTCTGATTGTTCTTGTCTAAGTAACTGTAAGTGACCAGCATGCTCTAGATACCTGGTTACCAGTAAATATCGTGGCATTTCTACTTGATGAAGAAAATAGGTTTATTTGTTTGTTTAAAGATTAGAGAGAAGATATGCAAAATCTTGTTAATTACCAAAAATAGCCATTGGATAAGGGACTTGAAATAGGGAAAGGTGTAAGCTACTGTATTTGTTGGGCTCTCAGTATGAAGGAGTTTTCTTTCTTTAGTCCTAAGTGTATGGCTCTATGTAGTTTCTTTAAAACTAAAATTGAACTTGTTTTGAACTCTTTCAGGCATGTTACTACCAGATTCAGCGTGAGAAGCTTAACTAAACTGCTTAACAGCTTGCAAATGGGATTATCTACCACCAAGCATTATAGCGCCATCTGGAATCTTCTTGCAGTGACAAAAAAGAACAATATTGAAATTGGAAAGGACTTTGTATTATTTGGTCATTATTTCTGAGCCTTACTAATAATTAGAATCCTGAGCCCACAGGGAAGACAGAGACTATAGCTTTAAGAGAGAATGAAACCTAATTAGATCAGTCCTTGGGCTGTGTTCAGTTCCAAAGGTTTCATACATCTACTACTTGGAAAACAAGGCTATCCATTCCCACAGAGAAGGATATGTCAACCACATGATATTGTAAGAAAAATTCCCAGCATGGTCAGCTTCTTACATTAAAGAAGTTGGTGAATATTTTTGAGTTTCTGGTTTGCCTGAATCCATCTGCAGCTTCCCTGGATCCCTTGGCAAGAAGCAGGCTGAAACTACGGCAGCCACACTGCGCCTCCATAGGCCCTTTCCAGTCACGTGTGCAGCATGCTTCTGTGCTAGGGATGGGAAAAGAAATTTTTAAACTGCAGTTTTAACTTTTTCTAAGCTTTTACACTAGAGTAGTGCAGAGACTACCACACCCTAACCCCAAACATGGAGAGCATCCACATAGCAGTGTTCTGCCACTTGATTAAAATCAACATAGGAATTTTGTTTTTGGTGTCCTCAGTAACACAGAGTCAATACACTGGAATTAAAATGCCCATCAGCATTTGTCTGTACGCAACACTGGATTCCAATGCTTGGGACTAAAAGTCTGACAAGCTTCTGCAAGGAACCTGTTATATGGAATACCAACGAAAGAACTGCAGTATTCCCCGGCCTTTGTTGTGGTTCTTTACCTCGCACTGAATCAGATGGGAAGAAAGAGGAAAGAAGCTTTGGCTTTTCCCATCTCAAAAGTATTATGGCACCTCAACATTTTAGTGTTTTGTTTTGTTTTGTTTTTTCACTGTCCTACTGTAGGTTGTTGGTGTACACTGTACTAGTGACACTAGTAGCTGTTATGGATAATATAGGTGCTCTTTATCATCTCAACCCATACGTACCATGGTGAGCGGACATAATGTTCTGATTAGGTGAAGTGACTCCGCAGATGTTAACAGCTTCTGAAAAAACGATCATGGTTCCTGCTCTACTTTCTAATCAAGACAAATGTTTGTTAAAATATTGTTTTGGAATGTTGGCTGTAATGTTACAGCAATTTTCATAATAAATTTCATTCATCTTTATAAGGTGGTTTCATGATTGTGGAAGAAATGACATAGGGCAGACTTGAAAAGAAACCCAGGCTCAGTGTTCCTTTTGCCAACATTGTGAGACCTTTAATATAAGCAGTAATCATCTTTGCTGACAAAGAAGGAGTTAGTTCTGATCCTAATGACCCAAGGACAAGAGGCCCAAAAGAAAGCTATTATAAAAGGTATATTTGATACTTAATCATTTTTCATTTTGTTTTTGTTACTTGTTTTTCTGGTTAGAAACAGATGATCATCTCACAGTTATGTAATGTTTCAAGGAGCTTTTCCACCTTGCCTCTGCCATCGGCCAGAACATAACTGTTCTATTTGGAAAGGAACCAACTCTCAAAAAGCTGTCTATGTTAAGCACTTCGCATTTCCATCAGGGATTGTTTAATTTTTCTGTACAAGTACAAATAGTATAATTGGCTATTAAAACAAATTTATTAAATGTTTACCTCTTTAAGACAGACAAGAATATTTTGGGGAAGTGGACAAACTTGGACTGTTTGAGACAAGTAGACTTACTGAGAAATTCTCAGGTGATGGTAGTCAGTCTCCATTCTAAGGAAAATGCTGCAATCCATCATTTTATTGGAGTCATAGATTAAGCCAAACAATTGCTTTAGAGTCTTTATGCTATATTTAGGCTTCTTGGGTAATAAAAATGATACATTTTGAGTTCACTTGATGGAAAACTGAATCTCCTCCAGGCCAGGTTTGTAAATAGAAATATTTAGCGTTCATGCAACAAATATGATCATCTTTCATATTCACAGAGAATGATTGATCACAGCAGCCCTGGAAGGCAGGAATCAACCCTTTTGTCCCTGTTTTGCATCAAAGAATAGCTGTGATTTCCTCATTTCCAGATCTAGGACTTCAGCCTGACTATCTCCATTCTAGTTCCAGTGCTCTTTCCAGATTTAGCTGCCACATGGCTGAGTTCTACATTGGTAGTTCTCAAAAAATGAGTTAGACATGAAAAATCCATTAAAAGTAAGCGCTTTTGATAAAATACACTGTGCTGAAAAGCTCACAAATGTGTTAAGTTTCCAAGTTTCTGTTTTTCCTCTACAATTGGGAGATGAAGCATCTTTAATTTTGAATCTAGGTTGGATAATGCTCAGTGCTGTCTTCTATTCTTTCTGTGAAATCCAGAACTAGTCTCTCCCCCCACCACTCCAATACTGACAGACCTGACTGTAGCTACAATCTGAGGTAGAAGAATGAAATATTTGTTAAGTTCAGAAGAGAAGCTTGATAGGATGGATCAGAACAATCTGTTTCTGATAGGTCTCATTATTGGCCTGATATTTTTCACCAGAACATGAGAAAACAAAGGTTCAGAAGTTGATTTTCTCCGGGTGCCTTCACAGTTTTACCTTTCATTAAAAGTATCATCTTCCGGGCTTTGAAGGTGGCTCAGTGGTAGAGTGCTTGCCTCTCATGCATGAAGCCCTGGGTTCAATTCCTCAGCACCACATAAACAGAAAAGGCCAAAGTGGCACTGTGGCTCAAGTGGTAGAGCGCTAGCTTTGAGCTGAAGAGCTGAGAGCTGAAGAGCTGAGGGACAGTGCCCACACCCAGAATTCAAGCCCCATGACTGACAAAAAAAAAAGTCTTCTATGGGAGGCCCATTATCAACAAAGATATTAATATTTTTAGTGATAATTGTGCTGGTAATGTGTGAGAAGAGACAAGTTTAAGAATGGTATAAATTAGATGTTTTGATGCCAGGAATGCTTATGATTTGTGACAGGTGAGGATTTTGAGTAATCAGGCGGGGTTAGATCTGTGGATTAAATCAAAGAGGATGTGCAGAGGTTTTACCTAGAGCAGTGAGGTGACTTTGGTCGCTAATAGCCCATTATTATTTGCTACTCAGTCTTTCATCTGAATAGGAGCAACATTGCATGTTTATGCTCTTGGAGGTAAGAGACTGCCCAAAAATAATCCTCAGAGGATATCTCCAACAACTGTCATTTTTAATAGGTAAAGATAGAATTCTGGGTAATCGAATCTACCTGGTTGAGTTTCGTAGTAACTCAGATTACATAGGAAATTGTATAATTTTTGAAAGAGTAGATTCCTCTGAGAAGCCATTTCTTAAGTATGAAATAATGTATTGTCATGTGTCTTGAGTAAAACAGCATTTATTCTAATCCTAATCAATAGCAGTGACTCCAAGGAAACAAACCATTTTTTTTACAGAGCATTTCTTATCATTAAGTTTTCAAGTCCTTTTTTTTTTCAGAACCTGTCTGCTTTAAAGAATTATTTTGAAAAACAAACATATTAAAACATTGAGTAGTTACCAGTTCATTTTTGAAAGCTAATAGAAATACTGAAGGTAATGTTTAGGACCAATGCCTTCGAACTTAATAGTAATGCAGCTTGTAAGTCAGTGACACGAACCGGCAAACTGTTCTTGTTATTTAATTAGCTTTGAGTTGTATGTGGGTGAGTGCTTGCAATCTCAAACAAGAATTCCCATCCTTGAGACAGCAGAAACAGGTAAGTCTCTGCTAACAAAGTTGATGCAAAAGTTATGATAAGAAAAAAGAAGCATCACAGTCTTTTTCCAGATACCAGCACCTTTAAGGACTAGGTAAACAGAGTATAATATTTTGGGTTTTCTATTCCTGAACTCTACTAAATTCCTCTTTAACTGTGAAAATCCTTATCTGGAAAAGGTATAGGTTCTGTTTTATTATCTCTTGAAGATTCCCTTCAGCTCCTGATTTTAAAGTATGGTGGAAAAAGAGGTTAAGGTTGGTATAAGCAAGACAGGGAGGAGAAGAAGGGCACACACCTGGAGAGTTCAGCTCTCCTGCACCTCAGGAGGAAGTCCCAGCTGCGCTCAACTCTATGTGGGTGAGATTAGCCTCTTATATTTTCACTACTTGTTTCTCACTACTTGTTTTTCTGACCTTAGCAACATCTGGAAATACTGGAAGTACTGTGTACTTGCTATATAGTTCAAGCACTGTTCAGGTGAAGCTGCAGCATGAACAACTCAAAATTCTCTACTTTACCACATGCTACAGATGTAATACCTGGGAGATGGAAACAGAAAACTAATGAATATGATAATTGAAACAAATGATGAGTGCTATAAGCACAACATACTGGAATTTCTATTTTTTCTAATTTTAGAGGGTTACAACAAAATACCATAGGATTATTGGGTAGTTTAGACAATAGAATCCTTTTTTTCTCAAATGCTGGCATGGTTCGTTCCTATGAGGACTTATTTCCTGACCTCACAAGTCAGCACAGAGAGAATAAGCTTTCTGTGAAGGGCACTAATGCCATCATGGAAGATCTGCCCCTGTAAGCTCACCTAAACCTACTTATCTCCAAAGGTCCAGTCTCCAAATCACATCACTTTGGAGACTAAGGCTCCAAAATACAAAGGGGAGAAGGAGGATGACAAAGTTCAATCTGTAGTAAATTTGTCATAGAAGCCTGAAGATGATTAGGCAAGTGCAATTTTTAGAATCCATTACAGTTGGACAGAAGAGAATTATTAGTTATATCTGTAAGGTTGAAAGAGTTAGTCAAAGGAACCTTTTAAAATAGATAATCCTTGGGCTGGGAAGATGACTCAGTGGTAGAGTACTTGCCTTGCATGCATGTGGCTCTGGGTTCCATTTCTCAGCACCACATAAGCAGAAAAAGACGGAAGTGGCCCTGTGGCTCAAGTGGTAGAGCACTAGCCTTGAGCTGAAGAGCTGAGGGACAGTGCCCAGGCCCAGAGTGAAGGCCTCACAACTGACAAAATAAATTAAATAAATAATAAAATCGATAATCCTGAAGTTGCCTGTAGATTTACTAGAAGCTTTTTTATATTTATCTGTTTATTTTTGGTGCTGGCAGTGGGGCTTGAACTCAGGGCCTTACACTCTTGTTTGACTTTAGAAGCTATTGTAATTGAAACTCACTATAGAAACCACTGCCTGATCCATTCATCTACTAAGGGGCATCTGGGTTCGTTCCATATCTTAGCTATGGTAAATAATGCTGCAATAAACACCTTTGTGCGGGTAGCTTTAGTATGGTCTTGACTGTGATCATTTGGGTAAATGCCCAAAAGTGGGATTGCTGGGTCATAGGGGAGCTCTGTGGAGTCTTTTTGAGAAACCTCCATACTACTTTCCAAAGTGGTTAAACAAGTTTACACTCCCACCAACAGCGCAGTAAGGTTTCCTTCTGTCCACATCCCCTCCAGCATCTGTTGTTGTTAGAGTTCTTGATTTTTGCTGTTCTAACTGGAGTGAGGTGGTATCTCAATGTTGTTTTGATTTGCATTTCTTTTATGGCTAGGAAGGTTGAGCATTTCTTCATGTGTCTATTGGCCATCCTTCTTTCCTCTTCAGAGAAGGTTCTCTTTAAGTCTTTAGCCCACTTATTATCGGGCAGTTGTTTCCCTGAGGATTTGTTTGTTTGTTTGTTTTGTCTTTTCTTTTTTGGTACTGGGAATCGAACCCAGGACGTTGCACTTGCTAGGCAAGTGCTTTGCCACTGAGCTACATCCCAGCCCTCCCTGAGGATTTGTTGTTGGAGGATTTAATTTTTTGAGTTCCAGGTATATTTTAGATATGAGACCCTTGTCCATTGTATGGCTAGTGAAGATCTTCTCCTAATCCGTGGACTTTCTATTGATCTTGCTAGCTATGTCCTTTGCCATGCAGAAGCTCTGCAATTTCATGCAATCCCATTTGTCCAACCTTTCTTTGATTTGTTGTGTTTCTGAGTCTCTTTTAAGAAAATTTCAGCCTGTGCCAAGGAGACCTAGGGTTTCTCCTATTCCATCCTGTAATGTTTTCAGAGTGTCTGCTTTGACTTCGAGGTCTTTGATCCATTTGGAGTTGATTCTGGTGCAAGGTGAATGGATCAAGAAAATGTGGTATATAGACACAATGAAATTCTATGCCTCCATCAGAAAGAATGACATTGCCCCATTTGTTAGGAAATGGAAAGACGGA